TGTCTCTTTCTTTCGCTTACGCCAGTTAATAAGACAGCTCCCACTTTTCTAACACCTTCAAACACTGTTTCAGCTTTACCTTTGCTACTGAACATGCCAATGTATTGTTGTAATAATGAACTGTGGTTTCCTCAATCTATGTAGAATTCTATTTATTGACAATGTACTAACTGGATGCAATACTGTAGTAAAAATGCTGAGAATTCCATTCTGTATCACAAGTACTGTTTTGGAATAAAGCAAATTATTATTATTATTACCCGACACAAAGCTAGTAATAGACAACTACGACATCTATGGGAACGATAGAGTCGACAAAAGAGGAGGCGGTTGCTTAATATATGCCTCTAAATCCACTAACTCCAATACTTTCAATGACCCAACTACTGACAAACTCCCTGAATCTGAGTGGATAAGCATCCACTCCCTAATAGCCCTGAAATAACTGATATAACTATTGGAGAAACACTAGAAAATGTATCTACGCTGGACTTTGACTACAAAGTAGTCTGTGGCGATTTCAATTTACCTGGGGTAAACTGGTACAGGACCAAGAATCAATGCCCCTTACAAGAAACAAAAATACTCTTGACTTAATCCTCTGTCATAAAATAGAGCCCATCTCGATAGTGGTGGGAAATAAACTCGCCTAACAGTTCCCCGGTGCACTATCAATATAGGATCTATAAGAATGCTGATTGGGAATTCCTATCAGATCTGTTGAGAAGTTCTGAGTTGGAAGAATACTTCATCAGCAATAACCTAGAAGTATCACTTGAGATTTTCTACAAAACAGTTGGCTCAACAAGAGACACAATCGCGCCACTAAAATCTGCTCTAAAGACACTAACTCTATTTATAGACCGCAAAATGCGACTAAAACTAAAGAAATTAAAAAGGAGATACCATGTATTTAAGGAATTTAATGCGTTAAACCAAATACATGAAACTCTTAAACTGTTTGAAGAGAAACACAAAATGAGGTCACAACTTGAAGAAAATAAAGCGCTTGTGGGTAACTCCAAAACTCAGGAACTTTGTAGGATATTGCAGAAACGTCTAAAAACCAGTAAGGCAATAATGTAAGCGGCTTGGAACATAAGGGTATAATATACAATGATCCCCAGGTTATAAGTGAACTCCTCAATGAGTGGTTTTGCGATGACGCCAGAGTGCATCCGACCCCAAATTTCCAAATGACCTGCAAAAGTAACCACAAATTAGGCGAAATAGACTTTAATATACAAAATGTAGACTCAGCGATTAAGACATCGAAGTATAATGATAGTACAGGAACAGACGACGTACCATCTGTCATATACAAAAATGGTAGCACGGAAATGGTAGTCTTGTTACTTAGAATATTTACTCTCTCACTGGAAACTGGAACTTATCCTGAAGTGTGGAAAACCAAATACATATTACCTAAGCACAAAGCAGGGGCCCAAACCAGTGCATGCAACTATAGACCTATCAATATAACACCGGTAATATCACGAATAATAGAGAAAGTGGTTGACGATCAAGTGTCAGACAACTTACTAGAACATGAACTTATCAATCCATCACAACACGGATTTCTTAAAACAAGATCATGTGTGTCCTGTCACATAGACTTTTTCAACAAATTTACACGAAGAAGGGACAACAGAGAACAAATAATTGTGCTATGTTTCGATATAACAAAAGCCTTCGACAGATTTCCCCATAATCTGCTAGTCAGCAGGTTATGTTCACTAGGGATATGTGATCCTCTCCTGAGCTGGATAAAATCATTTCTCTGTGGCCGAAGTCAGACAACGACAGTTGGCTCGATAATCTCAAGGCCTAAACCAGTAAGTAGTGGTGTAATCCAGGGAAGTGTATTAGGCCCACTCTTATTCATAATATATATAAACAGTATCTGTGAATGCTTTAGTGTAGGTAAACCAATGCTATATGCGGATGACTTAAAAGTGACGTATAAATGCAAGAACACAGATCTTGGAATAACAGTAAACACTATACAGCAAGAATTAGAAAAACTGGATAGATGGTGTGACACCTGGTAACTCCAGTTTAATGTCGAAGAATGTGGCTGGCTCTGCATAGGTTGCAACAATTTAGAACTTGACTTGACAATTCAAGGCCATGCACTTCTACGACTGGAATCTGTACTGGACCTAGGACTGAAATATTCACATGACTTATCATTTTCTGAACATATCTCCAAACAAGTGTCAAAGTCACGCAGACTTATCGGCTTTCTACTCAGGAACTTCTGCAGAAACGAGTCTAGAATTCTGTTGCACAAGGTTTGGGTGCGTCCTTTATTTGATTACTGTTCATTCATGTATAGTAGCATACGCATAGAGGACAAATTGAAAGTCGAGGGAGTGCATAAATACTTCACGTTAAAATTACTTGGAAACGAAAATGGTGCGGACTACTTCACCAGATGTGATACCCTAGGACTAGAAACACTATGGTTAAGACGCCTGAGACTAAACTTAACACTTCACTATAAGCTTCTAAACCACTTAGTTTTTACCTCTACTAATGGCACTCGACTTTCAGTTGACAATGGCTACAAACTAAGACACACTAAGGGTACAGTAGCTATCGAACAATGTAAAACAGCCACCAGGCAAAAGTTTTATTTGATTAGGTATGCACAGATATGGAATAAACTACCAATGGAAATGCGTCAAGCAAGTACATTGGCCTCCTTCAAAAAGGTGCTTAATGACAAACTACAAGAGTTTGCAAACGATAGAAGTTCTAGCTCCTATCTGAGAGCCTCCGAAGTTATAGGTTCATTAAATGTATAAGCTTAAATACTACACCTGTTGTTTTTTGCCTATATTTATAATTCTAGATAAAACATTAACGGTTAAGATACGTATCCTCAAACAGACAAGAAATCTCGTTTGTAAAACTTCTACGCAACACAATAAGTGGAATAAAATGGACATAAACCGACAACATGAAAAAGGTATAACTCACCACAACATCACATGGACAGATGTACGCTCGTTGGGCACCATATATCCCTCACCAACTGCAACCTACCTTTCCTTAGATAATGTGATGAACTTATATCCATAATGTTGCTGAGCAGTTAATATTCTCAACTCCTGTCGGAACAGCTGAGATTCATAAACCTTCCTCACGCTAAGAAAATACACACGAGCAGTAGAAATCCATTAATTGGTGTGTCTAAATCTTATGTATATTTACTCCCAACAATGACATTGCAGATCAAATGAGATAAACATATCACTGATTTCAAAATAACACATCAATGAACTATAATTCAAGGATTCTGCACACAACAAAGTTATGTATGAGATTTGGCTTCAAGCTTTATTTTTTTTCTCAGGCACTTATAATCCATCCATTAAAGACCTGGTATTTTTGTTAATGTGAAGACAATAGTTCTGTATTTCCTGATGTGTTGCACTCACTGATAATCTAGCAGATTTTTTCCAACTGTGCACAGAAATGATTGTATATAAGTGAAAACGCCGTTTTATACTACTGAGATTAACATTTATCGAGTGTATGCATAGTCTCCAGCGAACATGTAAAGCATATCTTGCTACTGCCTGTAAATTGTGATTGAATTATATGGTTCTATTTCCGTAACAATTTGATGATGCCTGTAAACTGGCGTTTCTCATGTACTGTACTATGAGAATAAATTTATTAATTTACTTATTCATATAAATACAGTAAGGATTGAGGTTTATGGAGTAAGGGTTTCGAAGTTATCTGGTTAATATAGTTGGGTTGAGGACTCAAAAAATATACATGTTGAGTAACACGCAGGCAAACGCAAAATGGTGGCGGAGCATAATTGATATGTGTTTGTTAATACGAGACTTAAAACACACTACGTATCCTGATTGAACACTAGTAACTAGTGTGACGTATCTAGTCTTTCTTTGGTGCAAACTGTATTCTATCAGTCAGGTATTTGCAATGTGGCCACCATTCTAGGTAGCTCGCCATCACGGTGCACATTGATTTGATATTAGATAGTTGGAGGCAATCGGTGGGAAGCGTTGGACCTAGGTTTCGTGCTAGTTAGCACTCATCAGTAAGGCGTATCTGCAACCTTGAAGGAACTCATGTACCTTATGAGATTTAAACCCGCGTCACCCAGTGCTGCAGTCAGAGACGTTCCCACTGAGCTATTCGGGTTCGCGATTGACCTCCTGTAGGACTGTAGTGGGTATTTTGATTGGACACTAGTAACTAGTGTGACGTATCTAGTCCTTCTTCGTTATAAATATGTCAGCAATCGTTAAAAAATGAACCATTCACATCTGCTGTTACTATATCGCAGACGGATTTCGGCTGAGTTGAAGGAACGGAAATGAAGTTTTCCCTTTGATGCCAAAACCAATTAGAAACAAATGAACCAATTATTCAGCACGGATTCAAAAAATGAAGTCATATAGTTGAATTGAACTGTTTTACCAGAGCAAGCCACATCCTGAAGAAGGGCTGAAATTATCCCGCATGCTCAAGGTCACTGATGGAGTGAGACGCTCAAAGGTCATTTTCGTCCATGTTAGTCGGTTATGTTGGGTTGCAGTTCCGTAGCCGTTCGTTTACACATTGGTTTTATGTTCTGTTGGCATTTATGGGTGATTCCCATATTCTGATAGCATTTTTTTGTAAAATAGTACTGTTCTTCACACGAAAATAGCCACATTTTGACGTAGTCTTCATTGAATGACACTATGTCGAAAGCTGCAGCTTCTACAAGAAATAAACTATTTGTGTAGATGACATTACCCCCCAACTACTCCATCTTCTTCATTGTAGAGATGTTTTGATGCATTCAGCATGAAACACTAATCATTATAACCAATATGCTAAGTGTGTCGCAGTCAGATTAAATGACGCGGACACCAACATAACTAGCCAGGAAATGAGAATTCCTATCAATCCAGAAAACATATAACAAAATTTTATTAAAAATTATTGACAAAACAAATTTGCCGAGCGAAATTTCAACCAACATGCCGGATAAGTCCAGCCCTGAAGAAGTCTTTGTGCTGATGTCAAATATTGGACAACGTACTTTCAAGGTTACTAGTTGGACGTACACAATATGAATAATCTATGAGACAATACGGACTTTCACATCATAAGGCCAGCTAAAGTATATGTTGATATAACAGTAATGAAATGTATCAGTAGCCTATATACGTATCTTCAATAATGATTCCATCTTGGCTTCCAGTAGTAAGAGCTTCAGCGATTGGTTGGACACCTCTGCTTCAAAGTAAACTTCCAGATGAGCCTTTGATTTCTAATAGAAACTGTTTTCAAGATCAAAAAATAATAATCAATGTAAGCGGAAGGAGATTCGAAACACTTAAATCCACCCTGGAAAAATTTCCTGATACTTTACTGGGTTCAGATGAGAAAGACTACTTTCAAGACCCTGTCTCAAAAGAGTATTTTTTCGATAGAGATCCCGAACTGTTCCGATATATAATGGAGTATTATCGTTCAGAAAGGTTACATTTACCAAAGGATTCTTGTGTGACTGCATATCACGAGGAATTACTGTATTTTGGCATAATGCCTGAGATTATGGGAGACTGTTGCTACGAGGAGTATCTTGATAAATACCGGGAAAATAAAGAAAGACAACAAGAAGACAAAGAAGACACTTCAGATGAAGAACAGCCGCTGACGTGTTTCAGAGATAAGTTGTGGCGTGCTTTTGAAAATCCGCAAGCTTCAACTTTAGCAGTCGTCCTTTACTACGTAACGGGATTTTTCATAGCAGTTTCTGTGCTTGCAAATATAACAGAAACGGTTTCTTGTGGTATAAGTATAGAGACTGGCGAGAGTATTCCTTGTGGGGAGAAATATAACGCTGCGTTCTTCTGCCTAGACACTGCTTGTGTGCTTTTATTTACTATAGAATATTTAGCCCGGCTATATGCAGCACCAGATAGATGTAAATTTGTCAGATCTGTTATGTCAATAATTGATATTGCTGCAGTTTTTCCATATTATGTTGGACTCTTCATGTCCAACAACAAAGAATTTTCGGGTGCATTCACAACTTTACGTGTGTTTCGCGTTTGTCGCATTTTTAAATTTTCGAGACACAGTAAAGGACTGAGGATTTTAGGATGTACTCTACGTTGCTGCGCTTCTGAACTCGGATTTCTCCTGTTTACTATAACAATGGGTGTTATAATCTTTTCAACAATAATGTTTTATGCAGAAAAGTCAGAGATGTCACAGTTCAGTAGTATCCCAGCTGCGTTTTGGTACACAATTGTAACTATGACCACTCTTGGGTAAGTTTCATCGTATAGCATAATAATGGATCTGTTTTAATATTTCGACTAACATTGTAATCATACTTTCATAAATATGTCAGTTTTCCATATATATTCTAATCTTTTTATGCTTTGTATACGTTATGTTATTTCTTCAGTCATCATATCAGACTACTGAAAGATGGTATTTCAATTTCAGAACTTTCTGTGTAATGTGAGTATCAATCACTGGAGTAATATCGTAAATTTATTAAGCATGGTAACTGAGCCTTCTTTAGAAGCCCTGTGATAATAAAAATGAATATGTTTTGTAAACTAATGATTCTGAAACGAATACAAGTAACTAAGGTTTACAGCTAATCATTTTTTAAGTGTTTTGCATAGCTTTCACTTTTTGTTTTTAACAAACAAGAATACTGGTTTATGCGATCTATGTACAAGGGTTTATTAGATACAGTAATCAAATTAATCGTCGTATCATCTTGATTATTTACTTCGCTTATATATAGGTGGGATGCTGTGTAGATACATACGTATTACTTCCCGTTTTTGGTGATGGTTTAGGGACCAGCCGTAGACAGATTTTTCTGAAGTTAGTAAATGAAACTGTACTTAAATTTTTCTGTCAGCTAGAGACAATGCAGCTTTGATGCGCATATCATGATGTTATTTGTTTATGGTTGATTGTGGGTTATATTTTGGCTTCATTTATCGGGAAATCGCTAATTGATAAGATGCTTCCCGGCAAGTCTTAGCATTTGGACGGATTTATTTCACTTAATTATATACCTGTGGGAAAAGGAATTTAATTGTCTCTTCAGAGGTTCTACTTTTAGGCAGTAGTGGCACAAGTAGTGGGTATTCAGATTAGTCTTCGTGATATCCTTGTATGAAGTTGCTGTTTTTCCGTAAAGTAATGAAGTGTATATGTTTTCTACAATATACTCAGAAAATTCTATTGAAGCCGGTTGATAAATTTATTGAGTTACTCAATGTGCAACATATAAACCTCTTTTGTTTGCAGCCCTAATAATGGAATTTCAAAAGTTTCTTTCATACACAGTTTTACATGAAGTTCAAAAGCTCTTTTTGTGCATCTTATCTGAGGAGGGGGGTGCGACATAATTTGTATAAAAACAGTCCAAGTGGTTTAGCCCTTTGTTTTGTTCGCTGTGAATCTACTTACTTTATTTTTTATCTGACTAATCGGATGACTGAAAGGTGATAATGATTCTCTTCAAGAAATTTTACTGCAGGTCTTTTTGTTTATTCAAATGTCGATTGTTATATATTCCAAATTCAGCTCGCCCAGTTGAAGTTATTGTGATGGTGCACTGCTGCCTGTTTGATCCGTATTATTGCTTTTATTGCATTCATGAATGTACGTATTAATAACTGATTCAATGAATTACATGTTGATTTATCTTTAGTTGTGCCAGGGGCACATTCATTGTTTTGTTCACCAAATTAGTAACACAATTTTCACCTAAAAAAATGATGTTTGCTATCGAATTCAGCTATTCATGGGTGTAAAATGGAGAACTTTGTGGACCGACGAGTGAAAAAGTACCTAGCAATTCAGCAGTGCAACCATTAAGATTTCTAAAAATTTTTCATTTAAATTCTATGTAGCAGTTTCTTAAGCATAGTAAAAGCTGAAAAAAAATGATATTTCATCGACGACACTGTATTATGACCTCTTCTCCAAAATATTTTATGTCTAGTCATATCTAGTCATATTGATTTTCAGTGAAGTGTTGAATCATGTTCTTTAGTTTTGGGCAAGTCCAACTACTGTTACAACAACAGAAGAGGCAGTATGAAACCTTCCAATTCAAACTGATCGAAAGGCTTACTGTAGAGATTTTCACTTCAGTCACTCTTATCTCAGAGGAAGAGGAAGTATTCTCTGTACAATCACTTTGGTTTTATCAGACAAGACAATTTTTACGAATCTATTTTGTTTAATCACAAAGTGGTAGTCTTTTATTTCATTGCAAATCTGTATTCATCTACAAATAACAAAATAGGCACAGCTAGCTCTTCTTATATAAGTAAAGTTAGTACAGACTTGAAAGTCCCACGAGAGACAAGAGAAAAGTGATATGACTTTTTGTCCCAATTTCAGCAAAACTTCTTATTTTTGAGAGTTATTAGATAGTAAAAATTCACAATTATACGCAATCAGGTGTACAGATTGTATACTGAGACGTGACATACTAACTTCTTGTCCAAACACTGACCCATCCAACCAGTGTGAAACTGTTAATCAATTTCTAATATTATTATTCGGGTACACTAAACAGTAGCTGACTCATTTTACGTATCGTACATAATGGCAAAATGTCATAATCTATGCTAAACAAGCCACCCAACGTGGAATTACTAAAATGAGATTGTTGTACTGATGTGTGTTTCATTGTCATTAGCAACTTTCGAATTACTTAAGAGATGGCACAACATTTAGAAACCTGTTGAGTATTGCTCATCAAAGAACGCTAAGTCAAGCACCGTTTCACACTCTAGCACTTCTTTAACATGAATTCTTGAATAATATACAGCCTAGTGTTAGTAAATGTTAAATGACAAGCTCTCTGTTATCATTACCCGCATAAGATGTGGTCCAATTAGCACCTAAATTTGGTTGGTGGTTATTTCTGGTATACTGGAAATATGTTACATAGTTAACTGATAACTTTAGAGTCAGTTGGAGGTAAAAGTAACCAGTATATGATGTGGGCTAAAGGACCGTTGTGTTGAATAAGCACTTCTTGGTTAATTATAACTCTCTGGCTAAAGTCTAAGAAACAATATATCTGGGTAGACTGTGATGCTGTCGGATAAGAATTGGAGTAGACATGAGTGACGATCCCCCTACAGCTTTAGCGTTTCATTTGTTGCTAAAAAGTGTTTTGGGTATACTTCGTGGGATTTCTCTGTTAGCTCTTTCATCATTTCCTATTTCTATTTTGTTAAGTAAATTTTATAATGCTGTAACATTATTCCACAGTACACATTTTTGTTGAGTTTGTATTTTACCGACTCTGTTTAAATTATCAGTAACTGACAAAACCCAGTAAGCAGCTGAAAGTTTTTCCTCAAGCTTTGACCAAAATTATTTATTACACGCAGCATGTTTAGAAAACCAGACATGGATATTTCTAAGTATCTCCCTTAAACCACAGCTTTTTTGTCTAAATCACTTGGAGTCTTGTTTTGAAAACCAAAATACACAGTCAGTTGTTACAGAAATAAAATAAACCAGTAAGTATTCCAGTTCTTGGTTAAATGGCCTTCTATTCAGACTAACTAAATAGAATCAGTCGTCACATTTTCATTTTTCTATCATTTGTCATTAATGAATGTCAAGTAGCTAAACCAGATGTCTGTGTTTTTAAAAAAAAATTTTGCATGTAGTTATGTTGTTTGCTGTCTTTGCATGAAAATATGAAAAAAGAAATTCAGTGCATAATAACTAATATCTGCAGATCAATTATTTCTGCGAATTTCAGTGTTATTTTATGGTTTCTTGTTTTAATCAAATGCCAAATATGAAAAATGATGGTTTTTGCTAACAGACTAAAATTATCAGATTTTAAAATATCTTCCGGTATTTTACGAACAAATTGTTTGTATGCTTTCATCTGATGTTGAATTTTTAAAATTGACGGCAAACAGCTAAAATGCTGCAGTGAAGCATATGTCATCACTGATTTTATCACCTGAACACGGAAGAGTAAAACATTTCACAAATACGAGAATAATTAGGCATTAGAATATTATGCATCCTCTTGGTTTTATAGGTCAACATTTTAATTACATTGTAAATGGATCCTTCCTTAACTGCAGTCAATGTTATCTGTACAGTTAAGTGACAGAAACACATCTTTAACACACTTATAGAGATAAAAAAATTTTCTTGTGTGGTAAACTAAGTATTAGGATTCGTTACAGTAATTATTTACACCGATGTAATAAAGATGAATAACTTATAGTGTTTTCTCATAGAGTGGAATGCGATTTCTGTGAAATTGTAATTTAAATATTAGTGAGTATGGGCGGCATAACTTATTTCTATATATATTTTCCTACGGTAGACTTCGACACTTTAAAAGTAATTCATCTTTTATCTGGTCTGAAACTATTTGCTAAAAACGATCGGCTATAATGTTTTGATATACAGAACATATTGCTACATTCTATATGGTATGTCAGTGACTATGATGTAATATAATAATTAAGGAACATATTTTTTTTCAACTAAGTCTAAAATAACTCTATTTTCATTTTAATTCCGATATTTTTCAAATGAAAACCGATAGTAAACCCAATTTATTGATTCTTTAAAAGCAAAAAACAAATTTTTCCTGAAATTTATCGATAGTCTATCGTAAAATATAGATTAATGTTTTATGGCGTCTAGGTGCATGTCGTGCAAATGGCTTTAATAAATCAATCCATAGACGTCTGAACATTTAGAGCAATACTAAAGTCGAATCGATTAGACAGGCGAAAAGTATTTCACATTGATATATTCAGCTAAAATAACTGTCGTAACTTTAATCTTCAACATCTCTTTAGTCATTCATGTGTCAAAAATGACGTGTGGGTTGGTTTTTTTTGTTTTGAATTTCGTATGCTTAAAATGTTGGATTCGTGATCATATATATCTTGTTTTTTTATATTTGACCAAGCAAATTTTTTTCCAGCAAACTAAGTGTATCTTATGTAGGAATTTGTAATACAGGTTTTTCGACTACTGATGTTATCCCTATATTTTTTTATATATTTTTGCATTATTCGCTGTAACGCTGATATACTAGTAAGCATTTAGAGACTGCATTGCATAATTTCTTATCGTTTTATTGATTTTCGAGTCTGATTATACTAAGCTGGGTATCAGTTAATCACTGTAATATGTGAAATTGTCATATTTGTGCCTAGTTTTAAATGTTGGCATATAATATAACACAGATGGTAGTACAAGTGATTGCTTTAGACTAGGAGTTACAATCTATGCATATGTGCTTTTCGCAATCTTCTAGTCTAGGTTGAAGTCAATAGAATCTAGCTTAGACCTAGTAACGGTTAGTTAAAAGTCGAATGAATAATCTAGTTATCTAGATTTATTTTTTGTCAGAAATACTTTCAAGTGTAAAAATTTAATTTCATCACGAATTAGACATAAGAACATTATCAACTTAGAGTCTAGTGTTCCGGAGTAGTGGTCCAAGTTGTTGAATCAGCTAGATGAATTTTTGGAGAACAAGAAGTTTTAATATTTCGTTGTGATTTTGGACTTTTGGAAAGTGACTATCCACATAGCCACAAGGGTTGAGCATAGGACTGCCAGTTAACACGGTGATCATGTTGCCATTCAGTTACTGCTGGCATTTTAATGACCTATTCGCTACATGTTGCACTGCAATCCAATGTCTATGCTCGTGCTTCAACTGGTCTGTCTCACTAGTTATGATTTCTGATCAGAATATTAAGAAAAACATCTTGAATTAATCCACTGATGCGTGTCAAGCTTTAGAGTTTACAAGGATTTGATCGTTTTTATCTCGGAGGGAGATCAACTAGAAGAACTGTTGACAACTGAAGTGCACAGCTTTTCCACATTCAGATTCCCACTTTGTACGTTAATGAAAAGTAACTGAATATGCACGATTGTTCACACCTACTTCTATCTAGGCCTTTTGGCTTTTTAGTAGATGTCTCGTGAATAAACCAACCATAAAATCAATTAGATTTGGAAAAATATGTTAGTTTTTTTTTTAAAATTTCAGTGATTAGTGAAAGTGAGTTTAAAGCTATCTGTATTACTGTTTACTCAACAACTAATATTCATTCAAGATATATTTATTACTGTTACTATCTTTAAACACGACACTGTTTTTAATTAAAAACAATTCCAAAATTTGGTGTGATCACGGACAGTAATTTTTCTCGAAGTATTACCAAGATCAGAAATTTATTATTATGTGTAAACAACTACTGAAATATAATTAAAATTTATTAGTATTTCACTAATTTTAATCCAGAACTGTATATATATATATACGAGTTATAAAGTTGTATAGAATGAGGCATTAGTGGGTGGAGCTGCTTCGAAGAATTAGCGTTGATGATGTATTCATGCAGTGCACGTTATCAGCTTGTGTGTTTTAATGCGAATTATATCGACTTCATTTTAATCTTACTAAGTTTGTGTCATTGTGTTGGAAGCATTTTCTGCTAGTCGTCATTACTTTTAATTATGATGAATAGTCCTAACAATATTTACCAGTGCAAACATTTTTCGTGTAATAAAGATTTTACGTGTTACATTGTGCAGCATTGGTTTGCTTATTTATTAAATGTCTTATTCTTCGGTGAAATTCGCGAATCAATCTGCTTCCATTTACAACATTACCTGAAGTGATACGTTAACATGTAAAGTTCTACGTTAATCTGATAGATACACACACACAAATTAAAGCACTGACTCGAAATTATGCTTACATTTAAAGATTGGTTGGACAGAATCCAGATTCAAAGAGTTACTCCTTTAATTAATTAAAGTCAATTTGTTAATAAATATCTTCGCCATTTCTTAATGTAAACCTCCGTTATGAAATTTCAAAGCTTAACAATTAATCAACTCTTCAGCTAGTGAAGCCGTATGCGGAAATCGTGTTAAATTTAGGAATTCAAGAGCAATATTTATCGGTAAGGCAGTACTGTTATAAAAAAAACAGTAGTTATTAGTAAGTTAAAAAATTCGGGTCATGGGGTATTTAGGTGTTTATTACGGAGTCCAAAGCAATATCAAATAATTTGTCAGTGAATAAAAGTGAATAACCCAGAGCTGTATCAAAATCAAAGCACAGTCAATTTTGAAGATCATGTGTGTACAGAAGGCAGGGGATTGAGATAAATGGTAGTCGAAAGGATAATTGTACATCAGTGCAATAACTAAAGGAAGGAAATGTCAATATGTTGAAATGTTAATTTGGTAAAATAAAGTCAGCTGCCATTGAATAGCTGTGTCAATAAGGGGTACTAAGTAAATTGCTGTGAGCGATGCTGCTTAATAGTATTAAGTAGTATAAAGTTCACGGCACAAAATAATGCAGACTTAGATTCCAGATGGTGTGGGGAGTAGAGTTGAGTAAAAATATTTTAGGATGATATAGTGGAGACAGACTGATATACTACCTTTTAGAAGATCCGTGTAAGTCCAAGGTGTCACACCTATATATAACACAGAAAAGAACAAAAACTGAATTACGTTACACTAGATAAAAGTGTCGGAGAAGAGATGACCTGTGATAAAAAATGAGTTTATCTGCAGTATTATAAATTATTTTGGTCCATGTTACCAAAGACCTCCAGCTGCTGATTGTTACCTCAGTCGGGCTTAATTGCATTCACGTACATCGCTCATGAATCAGTTATGATTTTCCAGTTTGAAGAGGATGGTATAATACTTTGATAAAGCTATTAGCATTAAATAGCGAAACGTCAGTAAAAACAATATCGTTTTGTTTTTCATTCATTGGGAAATACAAAAACCTTTATTATAATGAGGATGGTTTATAGCAGGATATAACAGCTGGTATATTTAAAACAGGCTGAGGCTTATTAACTGTAGCATAATTCAACCTTTAAAAATAGGTGTTTTAAAGAATTTAGTAGTCACTCATTTCCCTCCAAGTATTTACAAAATTTATCATATCATTCATTCATTATTTCGCAGTCTGTTTAATACAAAACTCAACTTAGCGAGTGACTTTACAGAATTCGACTGATTGATTTTTATATGATAAACAACATTTTGCATATACAGATAAAATGAAATGACCTAAGACATCCATAGATTCAACTAAAAGGCTTCGGAACACTAAAACATACTGTTTGATTTTGTGTATATCGATCCCTGAATTTGTAATATTTGTGGACACAAACAGTTGAAAAAGACCTCATCGAAAACCTATGGTTTTGCAAAGATGTAATACTGTGCTTTTTTCCACCTTATGTTAACTGTTTATAGGAGAATAACATAGTTGTAGTAGCATGGTAACATACAAGTCTTTCAGTGCAGTCTCTTCTGGTTGCTTGAATGTGGTGATGCCATTCAAACTTCTTTTGTATCTGCATAGAGAAACTTGTAGTAAATCTTTAGATTTCAGCTGTCCAACAAAGTTGAAGCTTTTATGGTACATAAGGTTGTGTGATTACCAAACTTAATAAAATCAGTTTGTTGCATACACTTGTAAACCCAGTTAAAAACGAAAAGGTTGTCGAAGGTTAATACTAGATTTTACCTTCATTGTATTTACTTGAATTCACTTTCTGAAACTCATTTATAGCAACAGTTAAAATACCATTGTGAATACATTCGTGATAAGTTTTTTTCTTATTCCTTCACGTTCCCAGTGGGACATAGAACTTCAAGCTAGAGGCTTGAAGTTTCTGTAGCAGTGTTTATTTGTATAGGATGGGGTTGCTAGCCCCATACCCAACCTTTCCTCTTAACCAGCTTTTAATTTCTGGCTTAGTGAGGTAAAGGAGTACGTCGGCTGGGGATCGAACCCCGGACCATGCGCTTGGTTGGCAAGCGTCCTAACCGCTATGCCACCGACGCACCTTCCTGATAAGTTAATCTTCAATATTAACAGGTCACGAAGATGTGCTGATGTATTTTAATAAGGGTTATTGAGCTACACTTCAATACATCACCATTCATTTTTAAGTTAAGAACACCCTTAATTTTTGAGTGAGATGTTACTCTATGTTTTCCCTAAGTCTTCTGTATTCATCAAAATTATTTTTATACACTTTAGTTAGTTAGTTAAATAGATTTCTGTACTTGTTTTCATATTGATCTAATGTATACAAACGTATTCATTTCATCTGTGAATAATTCAGGTATGGAGACATTGTACCGACTACAATCATTGGAAAAGTAGTTGGAGGAATTTGTTCGCTTTCTGGTGTGCTTGTTATCGCTTTACCAGTACCTGTTATTGTTTCACACTTTGCTAGGATATATCAGCAAAATCAGAGAACTGACAAAAGAGAAGCCCAAAAAGTAAGTTAGTGAAATTTAAAATCTGGAAATTATGCAGATATGCATAACACGTATTAATTCGCTTTTTCTTTAGGTTGATATTCAAGTTTTGAGTATTATAATTACTGAAAAGTCGTTTTAAATCTCTTGACATGTTTATATAAGCTTGTATGGTTATCACGACTTCATTACACTTTCCATCACATTAAAACTGGCTAAAGAACTGTTGAAAATCAGCTGTTTGAAATTATTATATTGCTTTATGTGTATCCATCAGCTAATCACTTCTACAACATTGTGTTTAAAAAATTTTGATTTAGAATATTTTTCAATGAGATGTTTATTACCATCTACTGAGTGAAAACGATTGGTTTACATCTTAAAGTGATGTAGTGGCAATGTTTAATGATTTGGTTAACCATTTCTTGATTTTATTTCGTTTCAAGTGCATTGCAGCCAACAGATACAAACAGATTGAGCAAGGTTGAACATACTCAAAACAAAGGAAATAAACAAGTGACGTTTCTTTTCAGCTACGGGTTTAATTAACAAAACTCTTTAACACATAATCCCATACAGGTCAGAAACTTTCACTGCGCGTCACGAAAAGGATTTCCAACGAGTTACAGACTTTCGCTCCATACTGAAGATCAAATTGCCAAAAAGAATTAGCAACAAGAAGCTCTGGCAACAAATCAACCGATTGCTTAACAAATATGTAGGAGAAAGTAGAGATAGATCGGTCACACGTTGAAGAAACCGTCAAACGACATCGCGCGCCAGGCCATCACTCGAGTGGAATCTCAATGGGAAGGGACGAGTGGGTCATCGGTGCGAGGGTGACATGGAGGAGATCGTGTGGCGAGGAGGAAATGAGACATTATCCAAAATCGTGGACGCAGCTGAAGAAGACAGCTAAAAATAGAACAAAGTGGAGATGTGTTGTTGAAGCTCTCTGTTCCACTTGTAACCCAAGGGAATAACAATAATAATACTGCTTTTTATTTAACAAACATGCATGGATCTAAATCATTTACACCGAAGTTACTAACAAATAAAATAGGAACTCGACTGAGCGATTAAAATTTATTCATATTATTTGTTCATTAACGAAATTCTCTTAAGTTGAAACGCATTCTCCAAAAGGAAACTAAGTCAACATCTACCTCTGAATGATGTTCATATTACATACCAGTAGTTTATATACCCTTTGAATTAGAAGAATAATCCGATCACTTGGTGTCAAGAAGAACATAAACTCATCTCACATTCTTCGTAGAATTCTCCAGCTATTTGAAAAAAATCAGAAGTATAAACAGAATGATAGCATTTCATTCAGTAAACGCTTTAGACATCATTCTCTCTAGTTATTTAGTAATAAGCTACTGCTTTTAGCAGACGGTGAGAGGAAGATACTATTGAAAGAAAAGTCTTGATTTTAACTACTTTTATACTTGCATTACAAATAATTAAAAACAAAAATTTGGCCTTTATATATAAGTATAAAACGTGGGCACTGTGGTAGAGTATAACTCCATTATGGATAATTAGCCTTTTATAATTGCGTTACGTTTTAAGCGTCTTCTGTAGAAAATGTGAATATAATATTATAGTGGATATGTAAAGATAGTTGTGCTTTGTTCGCAGTTATGTTTCTGCTGAATGCCATTTGCTTTCGCCTTTTCATCACCTCATATACCAATAAAAGATAACTTTTTTAAGTCTATAGAAGAAAATTTATAAAATAGGCAAAATAAACTAGACATTTAGACGGTATCTGATGGCTATCGAAAAAGATAGAAAATGAGATTCGCCTTATTTAATAGTGAATTAAAAGTATTACAAGTACAGGATAATTCTACCTAATTAAAGGAAATAAGTAGTAGTAGCAGCAGTGAGGTTACGTTACACAATTATTATCATTATTATTGTTTCCTTTAGTTCCTAGAGGAACATAGGATTTCAGCCGCACGTCTCCATTGCGTTCGGTTCTCCGCCAACGTTTTCAGCTAGCTAGACGTCTACCCACATGCTTTCATCTCCTCTTCACACTAGCTCCTTCATGTCACCCTCGCACTGCCGACCAACTCGCCGCTTCCCGGTCGCGTTCCACTCAAGACCTGTCTTGTGATGTCACTTGATGGTTTCCTCAGAGTACGGCCAATTCACTTCCATTTCTTCCTGCATATTTGTTGCACAATTGGTTCTTGATGGGTTGGTTCACTCCCAGAGATCCCTGTTGCTGATCTTTTCTGGCCGGCCATCTGATCTTGAGTAGTATTGAGCGAAAATAGCTGTTAATGAAGGTCTGCAGTTTGTTCGAAGTGCCCTTTGTAAGGCGGCGCCAAGTCTCTGATCCGTATAGTAGCACTGACTTCACATTGGAGTTGAAAATCCGGAACTTATTTTTCACGCTGAGTGCTGTTGACCTCCACACATACTTGAGAGTAATGAAAGCTTGCCTTGCTTTCCCGATCCTCCCTTTGATATTCTCATCAGTTCCGTCCGCCTGTAGTTGAAACGATGCTTCCCAGGTCGGTAGGTAAAGGAGGTTGCTTCTTTCAGGTTCCTCCTATTTATGCTGATTGTTGTCTGTTGTTGTTGTTGTTGTTGCTGTTGGCCATGAATCTTCATCACCTCTGTTTTCTCTATGTTCACCTGAAGTCCTATCTTCTCTGGATGCTTCTTCTGCCAACTTGTTGCTTTTCACTTGCATATCTTCCAAATTGCTGGAAATCAGACATATATCATCGGCAAAGTCCAGATCCTCCAAGTTTTTGTGTGGGTCTATTTTATGTCTGTCTTCTCGTTCCCCTATATCTACCTCATTATCCAGTGTACTGCAATCAGGAAAATCATAGGAGATAGTAGGTAGTCAGCCAGCTTCGTCTTACTCCTGTCTTCACTTCTTCGAAGGGTTCCGTGAGTTTGCCATTGTGGACTACTTGGCATGCAACATCATCGTACAACTGTTAGATGAGATGTATAATTCTTGGTGGCACTGCGTTACACACGTTGCACAATATCTAGGTAATCTACGGAGACTGATTTCTACCAACAGTATTGTTTAGCTTTAGAGCTGTAAAATATTAAGCAACTATTGGATCAAACGTACTCTACATGTAAGAATAACTACAGGGTTTAAAATATGTGTATGAATCTTTTTCAAGTGGATAGAGAAGTGATGATAAGAATGAAGAGTCATAAAAATCTGAAGTAATTTAAAGAAATTATTGTAAACAAACTTGTGAAATTTATAAATAAAGTTTGTGTAATAAAATAACTAAATAATTGAAAGACTGTCTGAAGAAGATATTGGAAAAAATAATTTGCTGTTATTTAGTGTCTTATCAATCTATTTTCTAATAGATGGACTACAATCGTCGTAATGTCTCTATGTGATTGATGAATTCCTCTAAAGATAAAGACTGACATTTAGGGAATAATGGTTACACAAACAAGTTACATGAAATTAGCATTACATTTTATCCTTTCTTTATTGGTTATTAACATATTTGAGTCCATTAAAACTGTCTGTAGGTTGTTTCAACGCAGATTTTATTGAATTCAAAGGTAGACAATCACGTGATTGCTTAACCTGAGGTAAAACAAATAGTAGTAATATAGTAATACCAATACTTTTGCTACTTTTTTAAAAATTCGTTCTAATTACTATAATTGTTATGATATATATTTTTTTGTTTCTTTTTACAGAAGGCTAGATTATCTCGTCTAAACGAAATGAAAGCTGTAGCAGAAGCTGCATTTTCAGAAGGCAAGAAAAAATACAAAAATAGACGGATCAAATATAGCAATGCAGTTGTTGGTGATGTTGCCAGCGATGAGAAGGAGAATAAACAAAATGATATTGTAGAAGATGAACTGGAAAATGCGGACATGTACAACAGATACAATAAGAGTAGACAAATAGCAGTCAAAAATGAGGATGACACCAACTTGGATGATGAGCTTCAAGACTTATTTGAACAACAATATTACCATTTGATAGACTGCCTACAACAGACAACAGTAAGCACATTCCTCGTTACCATCCGCCTCCCCCCAACACTAATTTTTATGTTATAATTATTCGTGACTTTTAATATTGTAGGAAATGAAACCTAACTAAAGCTTCGTATGTGATACACACTTTTAAAGAATATTCCAGTCTAAATTCTTTTATAGTTATTTGTGTACTTGATACAGCCTTGTGTCAAGTGGATTTTGATTACGCATAACTTCTCATAAGATTTGTATCATTGGCTAATACAGAAATTTAGTTCATACGTAATAACTATGTACAGTACATTTCGGGAAATCTGATCACACCTCTGCTCATCAAATCAATTTATATGAAAACAATTAAAGATCAGTCTACATAAACAAAAATGATAGGAGACAAGGGGAGTAAGAAGAATGATTATTAGTTCGAATCTTTGTAATATAATTAGATGAAGTGTAAGATTAATTTGTTTCTACACGCCACTTGATAAGTCCCTCTGTTAACTGTTACACTTATCCGACCTTGATAACCCATATTATTAATATTACCTCGCATTGCCATCTCATCATCTAAATCTCGTATTATGTCTACTTATGCTAACTGACCTTCCATTTCTTCATTTGCATAAAACATTGATTGAACAGTAAGATATGTAATCAGGTCGCTCGAAATATAGCCGGCAAATACATCATTATTTTTCCAGAAGAATTTCATCTTTTAGTAATACTGTCCAAATATAATAAAAAGGACTAATTGTTCTAAATAACTATGCTGTTTCTAGAAGAAGAAGAAGAAGAAAAACCTCTAGTAGAATTGTTTCAGGAAATAAGAATGCCTTTTTTGCACACCTTCCTAATAGGATATACTTTGTGTTTCTTTTTCATAAGCTTTTACTACTGTCACAGGGCTAAGTTCTTTATATACAAAAGCCCACTATGTGTGTAAAGTAATTCTTTTTTTTACGGCAAATTATGTGTAATATATTATCTGTAGGCTATCAGTTTCTAGATTTTCAACACAATTTATGTCTTACATTTCATTGCCTAGATTATTTAAAAGTATTTCAGTTAAGATAATTTACGCTTTTGGGGGCAACTAAGTCAATAAAAATTTGTTCACACAATTCGGGTTAGTTAATGTTTAAACTTACACATTTTTTTATTCAGCAGATACTTATGTAAGTAATATTCATGGAAAAGAAGTACATAAACAGTTGCCTGATGTAGAGGCTTAAATAGTGCTTCGAACTTATATTCACCTTTTTCAGAAATATCTTCCGTTTTTAAAGCTGTTTCATTAAAAAACCTGCGTTATGCCACTAAATGTTCATTTTGTAAAATAAATATCTTCATACTGAACCATCGAATATACATTTAGGGTGGAAGCAAGTTCTAGTGTAGTAGCTGGTGTCACCATTTTTATTTATCTTAAATCCTTCACAACTGATTATATGTAAAGTCTTGAAAAAAAATGTTTACATCCCCTTTTGAAAGTAATACAAAATAATATTCAATGCAGACTCATCATTAGGTTCTTTCTGCTTACCTTCTAGTCTTCATACGTAAATTATCAAACAGTTCTGTGGTGGAGGATGACTAGCAGTAGAACTCAGGATGCACATTTCGTCCTGTTCAGCATTCGTGTCATATGGATGCATTTGTAATCATGAGTGACTGATGGTGTTCCTACTAAGAGTCGAACCCAGCTAGTCCCCTATCCCTGAATAACATTGTGTTAATCCTCAGATATCGTTGAAGCGTCCAAACTGGGACAGCCGACATATAAACAGAAACTGAACAGTTACAGGATTTCATCATCAGCTGACATTGGTTAGAGAACCATTGGAAAACCTGGGAGTACTGGACAGCTGTTTCGTCCTAGTTTGGGAGTCTTCATCAGTACGCACCCACTGGGGTTCGAACTCAGGACCTTCTGGTTACAGGGCAAGCTCGTAGACCATTAAGCCACTGGAACCCGATCCAATGGCCAACCCATGAATTCTAACTTCTGCCAATTCACAATATAGCGCAACCACTAGCCAATGTCTTCGGCGAGTATTTAGCCTCACACCCAACCTGCTGCACCCTAATGGTCACGACTTCCCACTGGAACCCCAGGTAACTACCTACCTGAATAGGGCCAGTTGCCAGTGAACATATCATTGATATTCAAGTATTGGTTTGTAGGGATTTGGTTGATTGGTTACAGGAACATTTCGATCTAGCGAATAACCAATCAATGGGAAATACAAAATAAACTTAAACAAACAGTTATGTAAATGAAAGTATTCACTGGTTCAGTTAAACAAAACTATTTATACAAAATCTTTATTATTTATATTATTGCTCCACTTTGTTCTCAACAAATGTGATTCATTTACATTTTGATCAAATTTTTTCTTTAACAAGTCAGTTTTATTATTGCTCTTATTCATATTTGTTGTACACTATGGGCGAGTAGTCTGTTGTTTTAACTCGTGTTAGAATAAATCATCATCTAGTTATTTTATCTTGAATAACCTTCATACTATATTTATTATAGCTTGTATTCACTCCTTATCATTTTAAAAATTATAAAGCAATGTTCACAAATATTCAATTAAATATTCTCTCTGTCATGTGTCTACATTTATCCTAGTTTCATAACACTGTTTTTCTCTGCTTTTAAGTAAACTCTTCCAAAGTATCGTAACTTGTGAACAAATACACATCAGTGTAAAGTTCTACTTGGTTAAGTTAATTAGTCAGTCAGTACTATAGTTTCTGAACGATGTTGGAAGCTGTCTGTAGGTGGTATATTGAAACTAAAATAGTGAAATCTTACCGGAAAACTAATTAACTAATTTCATCAAAGATTTGTTTCACTTGTAAAACTTGTTTTTTAAGTTCTATGTATACTTATGTTAATAGTATCACTGCACATCTATCTGTTCTTGTTGTTTTTGTTTGTTTTTTTTTTACTGTCAAATGTACAGGGACTTGAAGTTGCTGAACCTGATGCATTTTCATCTACTGGAAACAGTAGTCGATTAACATACAGAAAGTCGAATTCTGGCGGAAAACTTTTACAAAGAAATAAGTCGCTCAATATTTCGAGTAGTTTGGGAGAACTGCATAATTCAGAGGTGGAAATAACACCAAAACGGTAAGCGTTTGTTTCGCTTTCATTTCTTCTTTTACATGTTTCCTAATAGCCAATAAGTGTAATTCGATATTATCTCCAAACCATTACCTGTTTAGTTGAATATATATGAATATATGCAATATAATAGTTTTTAACACTTGACTGATTTTAAGATACCTGTCATTTACAAGCCTATAACTTTGGGATAATATTTAAAGTCCAGGTGTCATTGATCCCTTATTCCGAACTAGTTCAAAATGCATAAAACTAGGTAAATCGATAATTTTGATTATAATAAAGGATGGATTTATATGAAATGAGACTATAACCTCGGTTTTGTCTATACAACAAGTATTATAACACAATATTACTTTTATGACTGCAATAATAGTACTTGATATGATTATTCGAATGTTATTCTTACACTGAGAAAGCCACACAAGACTGACTGAAAGAAGGCAGCGATGCATTTACCCACGAAAGAAGTAATATTACTCAAAACTGCAGCTAATTATATAGGTATCTAACTGGAGTAATAAATTGCTGGTTCAACATATGAATCATTGATGAAATAGTGAAATACTTATATACCACTTATATCTTCCTAACTGATGGGCACATCATAGACTCTAACATTAAGTGCTGTTTGTAATTTGTAAAGTAAACTAAAGGAAGGACTCCATATGGTGGTAACTGGTGAAATATGACTCGTCGTTCCCCGGTTTAAACATCGCCAGGCATGTATTGCAATAGATGATTGTCTGTTGCCAGTTTATCCTTGTTGTGTATAATATGTAACCTTAGCCATTTTCTCTTTGCAGTGTAACTTTCCTTATCCACGCATGTTAAGAATTCCATTTTCAAATCAAGCTATTCACAATTCAAAATTCAAACTTATTTAGATATAAAAATGATGTGTTTTAGGTAATTCTGCACTTTTAAAAAGGCAACAGAAATTTCTAACTAGTGAAATATATATTTCAGTTTTACAATGTACTTATTTCAATATATAGTAAATGATTCCACGTGATGCACGCAATTGAAATCTAACTTGTCTAGCTATCAACTGCATAGTTGTAAGTCTAGGTATTCTCGTCAAATATTGTCTTTTCTCCATCCTAAACCAATATTGAAAACTTTCTTTATGCATAATTTAAAAGATAGGAGAGAGACAGAGAGTATATTCTGTTTTAGATTTTATGTATGCAGTTACTTAACTACAGTCTATTATTTAATCTAGTAAAATGTAGTGGTTAAGTGAATATTTCTTTTAGTTTCTCCTATGTCAGATGTTGAAAGTGGAAAAAAAATATTTTGTACAGGTTAGGCTTTATGATGAGCCAATTCATAGTTAAAGAAGTTGTACTACTGAATAGTTTCCTCAAAACATAGATTTTAAACTTAAAATACCTGAAGAGTAGTCATGATTTTGTTTTTAGACAGAATATATGATTATCTGAAGAAATAATCGATTCTTTTTTTGATGTGTTGGATTAAGCATTAATTCTAAGTTTTGGTACTCTTTCATTTATGTATCTACTTTTAAATAGACTTTTCTTGAATGTACACTAGTGTGCAAGTTTAGAAAATTGTGAGGATAATTTATGCTCTGTTGATGTGATTATCTTTCATGGCTTTATTGTGAAAGACATAAATATATACATATATATATACCTACATATATACATATATATATAATGGTTGGGAGAAGGTCGGTCGGTCGGTCGGTTTTCGACATAGAACTTTGCACATATGTGCGGCAGTTCATGTCGCCACACTCCGTGTAGCACACAAAGGAAGAGAAGAAAGTAGGAGAAATGCATAATATAGACAGTAAACAGAGGTGTGAGACAAAGGAATAGTAATAACGAAGAACAATACAGTTTCATTGGGTATTGTAAGTCATAAGGAGTGGATGCATCTTCGCCACCCATTGACAACGATTTTGAGCCATGTCACCAATTGTTTCCAACCATTGGTTTTTACCGTCCCGAGGACCCCAACCAGTCAGGAAGTCTACACCTTCCTACGTGGCTTAGACTAACTGTTGTAGATTCCATTGACTGGTGCCATGTTTTTGTTTGATCACCGCTAGCCCTTTTCCTGTCTGGCCCTATATCAGCTAACATTGCCCGTCGAGGAAGGCGATGACTAGGCATACTTAATACATGTCCTAACCATCTCAGTCGATGTAATTTCACAGTTTCGTCGATTGATTTCCCCTCCTTACCTAGCACTCGACGCCTAACCTCAATATCGCTCACCTGATCATACCACTTCACGTGGGAGATAGAACGCAGACACCTATGATCTAAGGTAGCTAATCTTTTCATGTCTTCTGCTCTCAATGGCCAGGTCTCACAGCCATAAAGGAGGACGGTTGGGAGAAGGTGAAATAAGTCGGTAATTTAGTAGCTTCTATATCCAGCTGTGCATTGTGATCTTAGGTTTCCTTCTCACCCATGATCGATTTCTTTTTTTTTTAATTAGAAGTGTTTTTATTCACAAGAGGAAGACAGTCATCAATGTGCTAAATATAACATCGTTGAATTTTTAAACCATACTGTCTCACTTCATATCACTAAAAGTGCTTATCATGCTTGATTAACATTTGATACAATTTGTAAATTGTGTTTTTCTGCTATGTAAACACCACTTAACACACTCGAGTTTTTAAATAAGCAACACAAACACACACGCATACACATTTCTTCTCATTCTATACGCTAAATATATCATAGCTTTTAAGATAGCTATTAACTTTCAACTTTATTATTATCATCCAAAAAGCATAGAGGATAGTTCAATTTCATCGGTTCGTTGGAGAGAATTTTACTAAGGACAAGTTTAGAGTATTTTTTGAGACGTTTCTGTTCTAAATTGATAAAGAGAATTTGACGTTGAAGTCCATAAATTTAGAAGCAAACAAAATTGTGAACACGGTGTCATATTCAAAAAAGTTCAGCTTTATATGTTTTGCTTCTTTATTGCTTATATACATATATATATATATATATATATATATACATATGTATAAGTTGAAAACTGATTACTCTAAGATTGTTTTTTCATATCGTAAAACTTAACTATAAATGACTTTTATATCTTGTTATTGAGTAAATGTTTTTTATGCCGTCAGAAAAGTCAATGTATGAAAAAATTAGTTTATTCTGTATATGATATGTTTATATTTCAATGAGTAATTACTTCATTAACTAACAAAAACACCAATCGCTTAAATAATTATTAAATAAAATAAATCCTAGAACTGAAAGTGAATAAAAATTTCATGATCAAGATAGTTCAGTGAGCAGCGCTTTACTTACCGGCGAACAGATGTAAGCAGAAAAAAGAATCCATGGTGTTAAATAGCAATAGGTATTTGAAATAACTCTAAGACATAGTCATTCCAGGCATGGCACACTATGCCATATATCACTTTGTATTCCATTTCAATTGCAGCTTGACTCAAAAAGACACCATAGTGATGACGCTTCACTTCGTTTCATTCACTAATAACTTTAGCCGTGTCCAAAAGTTCATTTGTACGGTTTATTTTTAAATAATAATAATAATACGAGTTGATCACGGATTGATATCAGTTAGAGAACCATTGAAAACCAGGGAGTACTGGACAGATGCTGTTTCATCCTAGTTTGGGAATCATCGGAAGTACGCACCCACTGGTTCTCTAACTGATATCAATCCGTGATCAACTCGTAAAAACATAACTAACCCTTACAAACCAAACTATAGAAAAATAATAATAATAATAGCTTTATTCCAAACAGTATTTGTGGTACAGGTATGGAATTTACAGCGTGCATTACAATACTGCATCTAATTTTCTCATAAATTTTATAAGATTTTAAAAATAAAAAGCAACAACAACAAAAAGAAAAAAGATAAATAAAAGAAATAAAAAAGAACAGTATTGCATTCACATTTTAAGCAATGCACCACAGGATATGAAATATAAAATTACTGTGTAATAGAATATGTGAGCAACAATATAATAGTAACAAAGAAAGGAGAACAGAAAGATATACCTTCGGAAAATATTATATTTTCTAATAAAACAGTAAAATTCAGAACAATACACACAAGCGGACAATATTGTTTCCAATAAGATCTCATCGAGTTCTACTCTAATATGCATAACTTTTCAAATAAATATTAAATGTAGACCCATCATAGTGATTTATAAATAGGGTGATAAAACTATGCATACATATTATTCTATGAGTAGTAATCATCATAATTCTGTTAATAACAAGAATGAAAAGTGGTGCGATATGTGAAAATAAGAATAGCGGAGAACGGCATGATTCTAGCGGACCTCTTCCGTACGAAATCTTAGGAGTAAGTCACTGGAAAACATCATCAATGAGTTAGCTATGTATTAAGGTTATGTCGATAACACATAATTATTGGTGAAAATGTTGACAAAAATAAATTATTGGTGAAATTTAATAATATTTACTCTTCGCTTACTTTCATTTTTAAAGACGTGGAGCAGAAAAACATACTGAATTTTCTAGATGTCTTACTAAGTAGGCAAGATGACAAATCATTTGGAGAGGCTTGTACAGCGAAAAATATACTCACAGGCTAGTAAACACACACACACACACTCCTATAAAATAAGTTTATTTGATGAAGGCGTATAGAAATACAGCATTATTTATAGATGTCCTTTCGAGCACAATTTATTGGTCATAATCATATCAAGACCTTGGTATAATGATAGAACACAAGGAAACATTTTTCATTAATGTACAATGTAATGGTAACTTATCAAGTGTCATTCTTACAGCCAGACAGAATTAATTGTTTGTTTATCCAAACTCTGGTCAAGATTTGACCGATAATGGGCTCCAAGTGAAAAATAGACGTATATAAAACTTATATTTGCAAAAGTCTCAGCGAAATTGAAAAAAAATCAAAACCTTCCGTCCCATCATCAGATCGCTGCGAACTTCTTCAGGGTAATAATCAAAACTAAAACATCTAAGATAAACCTAAAGAGGCAAGATTTTCCCCTTTATAATATACCTTTGGAGCAGTTTGATGATAGAAAGAAAGGTTGGAAACATTCAATTTCGGTGAAAATTGTACAGATATAATATTCTACACATATTTGTTGTTTCGAAAATGCAAGCAAAAGCATTAAGTTTCACTGACTTTAAGATTGTATTATTGTTCTAGGAAACATTTATTAAATGATATTTATATTTCAGGTTTGTGGCAATGTGTTTAACTTAATGTCAGTCAGATTTTTTTAAATTTCCAGACAAAAAGTTCTGACTGGGTAGTGTCTACTGAGTTAGGTGTGTTGACAGTTACTTTTTCATGATATTGGGTGGCAGTAACGTCACATTGTGTATCAATAGGAATTAGAATTTATAGTGTGCTGGATAACTAACCCACTGGCTGAGTGGTGGCGTGCACATCTCGGAATCATGAGTGCTATAGGTTCGATCCCTGGAGCAGTCGTTAACATTCATCACCATGGAGTTTTAAACTACGATCAAGTAGCTGTTCGATACCTTCTGATTCTGAATGTTCTTTTACTAATATCAGCTGGTGACGAAATCTATCTTCAAATTATTAAATGATGCAGACAGCTACATTTCAGGAAAGAAGTATTCCGTGACAAACTAGAATTCGCCTCTAAGGAAAAGCAGAAGTAAACCTGATGTTTGGGCGTTTTCTTTTCTATGATAATACTTTAATTCTTATTGTCACAGATTGTTTCAGTGAGCCCAAATAAAACGTATACTTGTTTGATTTAATTAATTTATTTTAAACAGCGTAGAATAAGGCGTTTTTTCTTCACTTTCTTTGCATATATCCGTATTTTTAACCCAAATAAGTTTCCTCTTTCATTGTCAAGTGATTTACCTATTCAGGTATACGAATTTATTAGTGTATTTCTACCTTTTTTTGCCGACAAAAATATAACGTTAGTGTGAGTCTTGTTTGTGATGTTTTTATTGTGATACACAATTGCGATAAGTCAATTTTACGTTGTCATATGTATCATGTCAAGCAGTCTTGTCATATTATTATTATTATTATGGTGGTTGGGTGGGTTAAATATGACTGAGGAAATTCAGTACAAGAGTGTTCATTTGAATAAGACCAACAGCGAGGAGATTGAACATATTGATTTACATGCTAGTTGTAATTTTCACGTCAATATGTGACGCGATCTGCGTTTTTTGTTTTAGTCAATCACGTGATCTAAAACAAAATGTGTACATTTTGGCCGATAGAACGGTTTTGAATATATCATGTTTGTTTTTTAAAGCAAAGTAGAATTAGTAGTAGTAAAACAAATGTTTTGTTATTTCATTTGTCATCTGACCGAAATTATCTAGGTGTGTGCTGATACCATCCCGCCTACACCAACATTTAACACGCTGTTGTTATTCTCGGAGACGTTAATTGTGAAACGGTACAGTATTACTATTCAAACCCTTGTCAGCCAGACGATAATTCATTTTATATTCGTGTTTTGGATATTCAAAAATGAAAGTATGAATAAAAATGTAAGTAAGTATATTTTGGTAGTTTGTTAGTGTTTTCGCTTGTAATATGCTTGCGCGTATTCACATTTTTATTTTTTATTTACATTGACTACATAATAGTTCTATCAAAGTTTTCACCAATACTAGTTAAAGTCTGATTATAACTTAGTGAGAAATTTGTTTATTGATATGGGGATAAAACTTGGGCACTGTGGTACAGTATAACTCAATTACAGATATGATTTTATTATGATAAATAATCACCCAGTGTTATACAGAAATATTTACTGATGACCACGTTTCGAGCACAATTTATTGCTCATAATCTTATTAAGGTACTCACTCACATAACTTTCTTGCTTCTTTTATATACATGAGTAAAAATTGATTAGACATATAAATAAAATCAATATAAGACTTGCGTGAAACAGAAAGGAAGATAAAGTACATTCGGAAGTAATATTAGTACTATCAATAAAATACAATAGGATGGGAAATACGACATTTGTTGTTAATTAATGAGATGGAAAATACGATGTTCTTATAGTAAAATCAATAACTTGTTAGAATGCTATAATGTGAATTGAATACATTTTAGCATTATTCATTATCCTTTGATTTGACTAGTAACAGTATCTTCCATATCTCTGGTATTTGCGTTGAGTCACTTCTATTGCATGTGCTGCATGTGTACACTGGATGAACAAAGATTCAGTAATCAATCTCTCTCTCCAGCTATTTATATTACTTTTTAGTATTTTGACTCTGTCCCACCCTATTGTGTGGTGGTGTGTTAATGAATGCAGCGCAATTGCTGAGTTTTTTTTGTAAATTACTTATCTTCGTGGATTCTGTCTGTCTGTTTTCGGCATAGAACTTTGCACATATGTCCGGCAGTTCATGTCGCCACACTCCATGTAGCACACAAAGCAAGAGAAGAAAGTATGAGAAATGCATATTAGAGACAGTAAACAGAGGTGTGAGACAAAGGAATAGTAATAACGGAGAACAATATAGTTCCATTGGAAATCATAAGTCACAGGGAGTGCTTCGTGGTTTCAATCATTCTAACCTTAGCTAAATTCTAATGTTCTAATAATCTCACTATTCCCGATCTACTAGTTTGAACTATGTAGTTCCACTAATTCACAGTCATTGCAAGGTATTTTATAAATTATATTATTTTGTTTAATTGGGTCAGCCTCGTCTTTTAGCCTACAGAGCTTGTCCCTGAGTGAGTTTGTAGGTTTGAATGCCACCCTAACTCTTGCTTTATTAGGAATCCTCCGTAGGATTTCAGATGACACGTCCTTATATGCCATCAGTAAATATTACTGTATAACACTGTGTGACTTCATCAAAATAGAATTTTATCCATAAGGGAATTATTTGTTTGTTTGTTTAGGTTTTAGGACTACTTTATTATGTATTAACTACCATTATATTTCAGTCATTTGCTGATAAAAGTAACTTGCTATGAGAATAAAGTAATATTTAGAAAACAGACGAAATATTTACTTTTCAATTAGATCCTCATCTCTGGCGATATGTTTGTTAACAATAATTAGTCAGTGTCAAAATGTCAATGGGTTGATAATAAACGAAGAAAATCAATACACATTTAAAAGGTAGAAACGGTTAGAATAAATTAATTTTATAAGGATAACACGTAATTAAAGATGAAGTGGTCAAAATAAATATAAATAAAATAATTTAGACAATTATAATTTTTATAATTTTAAAGGTTTAGGGGGAGGGAGGCGACGTAGTCCTATTTATGCATTCTTGTAACGATGGCCACGGTAACGAAATTGGCTGTACTGATTTCTTCTGAACACATAGGCTTGGCTTCTTCAGGTGGATTCCGATTGCTTCAGCTGTCTGTAGAAGACGAACTCGTAGAGCAAAATTAAGATAAGTAGGAATCCGATAGATAATTTTAAATGCTGTATTAACATCAACATTATGCTCAGTATCTATAAGGTGTGCTGAAATAGAGCTAGGAATAGATCTTGTTTGTCCCTTGCTTAACCATGTTGGATGATGTTCGGAATCCACCTGAAGAAGCTAAAGCTGTGTGTTCAGAAGAAATCTGTACAGCGACTTTCCTCACCTTGACCATCGTTACATGAATGTAGAAACCGGGCCACATCGCCCTCTTCCGCCCTAAACCTTTGAAAATTATAAAAATTATAATTGTCCGCATTATTTTATTTTTCTGACCACTTCATCTTTAATTACGTGTTATCCTTGTAAAATTAATTTATTCTAACCGTTTCTACCTTTTAAATGTGTATTAATTTTAGTTCAATCTTAATGGTGTTTCTGAATAGCCTAGAAGCTTGTTGTACATCGTCAACCATATACCTGAAAATATCAGTTATTTTTTTATGGAATACAATGTATAGTCTGGAATGGTTTTTAATGCAATCTAACTAAATGACTGCACTTTTCTGTATATTGTTTCACTCTTCCATGACTATTTTGTAGTCAAAAGTTCAGTTAGTCTTGCCCTTCCCACCCTCCCTACTTCAGCCTAGGTTACTGAATTCCAACCAACCAACCAACCAATCCAGTAATATGGTCAAAAGTGAATCATGAGTGCGTTAAAAAGGCGATAAGTGCAGGCAACATCTATAGTACTCAATGATGATGCCTTGACAAGATACAATCAACTTTTTTTCTGTAAAAGATAAAAGTATTTCCAACAATAAGGGAATAAATATCTGTATATATAAGGATAACATTGAAGTAACTTCGAACAAACAGGCATCGTCGACCATGAAGCACAATACGGCTTCACTCTGTAACATTAGTCAGGGTAAAACAGCACTACAAAAATAGGTGAAATAACAAGTTGCAAAATGCATATACGAAGATTATTTAGCAGAAATGTGAGAAGTTGCATAAATGTTGTGAAGAAATTGATCAAAGACAGATCCATGTAGACAAGACAATAATGTTATGATCATATTGAAGAAAAAAATGGCACTGAAAATGTAGTTTCAAAGATGAATATATAAGACGAATCTTCTCAATACATTTTGTAGCAAATATACACAATAGATTTTATTTTGTTATTTATATCACAAGACTTTAAAGTAATCCTTCTGCATTTTTATTTACAACGAATAAAATCTAACAATTGCACTCTTCATTATGCCTATATTAGTTAGCATTTCTAATTTTCACAGAAGTTGTATGTTATATCGATCAAAACCTGAATAATAATAATGATAAAGTAGTGGTGTTAGTGCATATTCTTGTTGAAAATGATACTTGTAACCATTAACTAACTATGATATGTACTTGTGATATATACATACATATGCTACTATTTTATTACAGCTGTAGTTACTGTGCTTGTTGTTCTCAATAGCACTTGGAAAAATCTGAATAGAGAGTTCTTTATTCAGTTTTTCAGTATCGTTTATCAACAATTATCATTAATCATAAATGAAATGGTTAATATTAATATTAGCGTCATTTTATTGCGACACTCATTTCATTAGGTGCTTTTTCAATGCTGTCGTATTGCTTATTTATTATTTATAAGTCTGAAAACTATTGTATTCAGTATTTATGCAAACCAACAGGCTGACGAAATGAGTGTATTGTGTGTATAAATATATACATGTACTACTTGAAGCGATATACAGACGGCGGTTAAACGTGACTGAACCGAAGACAAGGAACATGGAAAATATCAGAAAAATAACTTCTAGGTACTTTTTTGAAAACCATGTATTTCAGAATGTACAGTTATGGAAGAAGAAATACTATTGAAAGTATACGCTAGTGTCTGTCATGCATAATTCACTGGAGAATCCTCAAGTGCTTGAATCAGAAGTTTTGTTTATTTTTTTCTTCTGAATTATCACATCCATGTAAATATTTTTCAAACAGGATGCAAACACTGTTGTCTGTTTTAGTGTTTAAGGGAAACTTCAGCTTTTTAACGCTAAACATTGGTTATTTACATACAGATTCCTTTTAAAGAGTATAAATGAAAACTTGCGTGAGCTAGTAACTCTGTCAGATTGACTGAAATATGCTGAAATCTTTACCACAAGTATGTATTTGGTAAGATGGCGAATAAAGTTTAGAATAAAAGTTTTCAACTTGGTAATATATGACCGAAAACTCCCATAATGCGATACCCGTGCTAACATGTAGACGTTTTCTGTCGTGCTGAAGATAAAAAAGATACTTGATAATGCAGGCTGTTATTTCACCTGTACTCAGGGTCATTCATTCATATGTAATGAATATATTTAATGAATAAATTCATATTTTATTTGTAATGGTAGAAGACGAGAGATTTGGTATCTCTAAATAGCGAAATTATGTACACCTTACCTCCAAATCACCATTTGCACAGATCTTCCATGTTGTTCTACTTCTACCCTTCGTATTATGTTTTTGTCTTCCTTTCCACATCTCTCATATTTTGCCTCAATGCCAAATCATTCGCTTTCTTTGACGTCAAATCTCTCTCTCCCTGCTATCTGATCTTTTTCTGTCAATGAACGTCTCTTTATATACTACTGATAAATCTTATCAGTAGCACACGGTACACATTTGCTAATATTTCTTATGAATCTGTTTACAATAATTCTGTACCACCTTTTAAAAAGAAAATAAAATTTTCTTTAATATCAATGAGAATTAGATAGGAATTCTGCAGGTAGTATTATCTATTCACACTTTCATATCATCTATGGGACATCTATCAGTCCTTATTCTCAGTAGAAAATGTAGGCCACTTTATTAGTACTAGAAATAAAATTTTCCCTGTGTTATGAAGTGCACAACTATTGATTTCAATCGCATTTCATTCATTTATTCAGTTTTATCACAGAGAAGAAATTTTCATTTGAGTTATATATATATTTTTCGTTTTGTATAAGGCTATGGCTATTATGTAATCTCTGATATTTTTCTCTGATTTACAGATACACTGTCCTTTGGAGGAGTTGTCAAAACTGTAGATTCCATTCGAATATATATATATATATATATAATGTCAAGACTTCAAATGATTATCGGCAGCAGAAGGCTGAAGATAAAATCAAGTAGTTGAATAGTTTGTTCATTTATGCCTTTCTGTATAGTCATCTACTCATATATATATATATATATATATATATATATATATAATTTTTCAGTGATACACAATTATTACACTCAAGAATTCATCCTGTTCTCACGTGATCATTTAGTTCATACAAAAATGCACTATTGATTTAGCCTAGTGTTTCTCCTCACCCCACCCCTCCTCCATCCTTTTCAAATTTCATTCTTTAGGTTTCCCAGTGAAATTTTTAAAAAAATGATTTTCATCAATCATGCATATAGTCATTTTATACAATCATACATTTTTGCATTTCAACAGAAAAATTTTATGATTTTAATAGTGAAAATGGATTTTTTTTATGTAGAAGAAATATACTATTTTATTTCTCGTCTTTTCCACTGAATTATGATTTACACTACCCAAATTATTATTATTTTAATTTTTGTCAAAAGATAATTTTATTTATTCTCTAACATTTTATGGTTGTAATTTTATTGTATATTAATTTATTGTAAATACCAGAACACAACTAAAGAGGAATAGAATATTCACTGCTAAGGTAGTGTTTTTTACTGAACTAATATAGGCAATATTTTATTCTCGTAGAAAATAAAGATGTATACCGTAAAATATGATTGCATTATGTGATTTAGATCGGTTAGTCTTAGACTATCGTTGCAAACATCAGTATAAACACCTGCATTTTATAATATACACCTGACGCTGGGCAGTCATGCATTATTACCATCATTATTGTTCTTTGAGGGGTTCCGAGTGGAACATAGGGCGTCAAAAGCATATATCCATTTCATGTGATTCTCTGCAGTTGTCTTAAGCCGGTTCCTCGACTACTCGATAAGCTTTCACCTCCTCTGTATTGCCCTCTGACACCCAACTAACCGTTTCCCATACGGGTTCCACTCACCGGCTTGGCTCACAATGTCACTCAATGGCATATGTCCGATACATCTCCATTCCCTTCGGCATATTTCTTGAGCAATGGGTTCTTGGTTAGTTGGTTCCCAGAGTTCCTTGTTGCTAATTCCTTCTGGTCTACCATTTGATTTTCAGTATGGAGCCAGCGAAGGCAGCTGTTGATAAAAGTCTGCGACCGGTTTGAGATAATTTTAGTGACGCATTTCCAAAGTGTATTTGAAATGATGCCATCTAGATAAGTGGGAAAAGTGACTTTCTCCCGTTGATATTTATTGTTCCGTTGATATCTTTGTCACCTTTGTATTCTGTATGTCCATATGAAGTCCTGCCTTTGCTGCTTCTCCTGTCAACTTGTTGGTTTTCTTCTGCGGATCTTCGAATCTGTGTGACATAAAATATAAATCCCCTACGAAGTTAAAATCTTCTTTTCGATGCAAGGAATGTCCGGGTTTTCGCTCCTCATCGTATCCCGCATAATTCAGTCCACCACGGTCAGGAATACTTTAGGTGATAGTTGACAGTTTTATCTTACTCTTGTCTTCTCTTCAAACTTCTTAGTGAGCTTCCCCTTGTGAAATACTCGGCACTTAGTATCATCGTGTCGCTGTTGAGTGAGGTTTATAAAGGTTTGCGGCAATTCACCCTATAGTTTCGAAGCAGTTTCCAAATCACAGATCTGTCGTAAGTTTTTGTCAAATTCAATGAGGCTGAAGTAAAGATTTTGCTGCCATTCATTCAATCAGTTAAGGTATTGTCCTATTGATAGTTCTACTTATAAATGGATATAAGTGGTTAATCGAGTAAAGTCTCCTCTCTCATGGGTAAATTCAATCAAGTAAAGACACGACAAGGAAGTGAAAACACCTAAAAGATTGCAATAAGGAAGAAACGAGACATATATTATTACCTGTAAAGTATGCGATCAGCGTGAAGTTTGTGATTTTCTTGATGTATTTTGTTACAATAAACATTACTTCTGGTTTTATTTGTCTTGTCCACTTCTACTGTAATCACTCCCTCCGTCCCAATTTTTACTGCAGGTTAGTATATATGGCCATAGTCTTGCTGATACTTGGTGCTTCCTTCTGAACGGTTGTTACTACTTCTAATTCGACTACATAATTCACGAACTGTCCACGATCACTTTTCTCTTCATCATATAAATTACTGCACCTACTATTCTCAAACGGTCTGCTTCCAATATCTGATTTTGGCGTTAGCCCCATCCTGCAATTTCTACAACAGTCTGAAAAACCTACAACCTGTAATGCATGTCTCTCCACGGGTTGAACTACAAGCACAAACATGCTCGACCCTATTTCCTTCCATTTGTCTTTACCCATCAATGAGACGGCTACCCCTCTTTCTATCAATGCCAACTACTTCCGGATTAATACGAGAAAAAGGAAGGCTATGCGGTTTAAATCTTCTGTCTCTTTCAGGTAATTTCTCTGCTAATTCCTTATTCTTCGACAACCGAAGCATGCCAGTCTGCTTCGTTTTTCTTCAAATTGCTGACATCTGCTCCTGCAGTTCTCTGGCCTGTCACGTCATCATGCCGGCTTCGTAGCATTCATTGACCTAACACTGGTGTGACCGTAGGAATCAATAACCGTCTTGTGACTTTCACCATTGTGTGCATGCCTATAGGTGAAGCTGCCTTCATTCAGGGTAAATCATAGACAGCGACAGTGGGAATGCATATCCTAATTTTGGAAACCAACAGTATTGCTTGGGATTTCCATCTCAAGATAATAACACAAGTCGCAGAAAATCTGGATTTCTGCAAACCTCTGTGTCTGTTGAACTCAAAAACCAGTCATCCGATGACCATACCCCACGACGTTGCAGCACTAGTTCCACACCAACAACTGAAGGTAGCTTTCGCCTTCTGTGCATTAACCAGATTCAATGTGCCTCACATCTATTTCTTCAAAGACCTGTGACCACGTCAACTTCAAGTCTGACAGAAATGGTGACACCAGCTTAGCGCTCACCATACAGTTCCACACGGTTTAATGACATCCGCGAAAATTAGATAGAGTGAACTGATTAGTAACTGTAATTAATCGAGGTACATTCAAAACACAAATATGGGCATACTGATAACTTACTGTACATCACTTTCGCTAAAAGGACCTGAGTTCTAATACCTTTCGATTTTCGTCCCTAAGAACCCCCTCAAACCAGATCTTCATTTTGATACTACGTTAGGAACTGTCTAACTTTTGAAAATCGATTGAGAGATTTTATCAAAAGAATCCACCGCTGTGTTTATCGTTAAAATTAGTTACACAAGGATGAAGGACCTTAAGATGGCATTACCTTATGTTGAAAATGTTTCTATCCTCGATTGCATGCCACTAGTTTGATATCTATAATGGTTAACACATTTGGCGGGAATTAAGTACCTGATTTAGTTATAAAGATAAAACTCGCAGACGATAACTTCCTTTTAGTTCCATGCTTATTGATTGAAAGGTATACTATTCAACAAAAAATCGCATGCAAAGATCATAAAATCAACCGGATGGATTGTCATAGGATACTGAATTAGTCACAAACGAACTAATTGTGAATATAATTGTTTTCAGAGCATTAATAATCTCCAAGGTATATTTATTTTAAAAAAGATGCAATTACTATGCTGATATGGTCAGCTAGCTGACAATTGCATACCAAGCATTTTCAAGGCTGAGTACAGTTATATCATTTTAACTATATTTTTAATTTTTATTTAAACACAAAAACTTGGTACAATATAGAAGATGCACCACACAATATTATTAAAATAACATAGATTAAAAGTAAGAATATAGGTGCAGAAATGATAAATAATTTCATCTGGAAGTGAAACAGTCATACTTAACAAGTTCAAACAGCATTCGTAAATTATTGTCGGGAAGGAAAGAAATTGCAGCACCTGAGCCAGTGATTACGACTCTCGGCCATATCCGATAACGTTTCGAGCCATCAATTTGAGCTATCTCTCAGACTCCAACCAGACAGTCGTGACATACCATCCGATGTTAATTTAACACAAATATCCTTCATACCACGACGGCATGTCATGGGCTGACCACCTCTCCGCTTTTTCCGTCCCTTCCCCAGGCTGGCGAACAGAGACCTGTTGGTAAGCCTCTGGTATGACATTCGCAGCACATGTTCCAGCCACCAAGCCGGTGTTTCCAAATAACGACATTTAACGAGTGGTGATCTCTACTATGTCCAAAAACACGCCACCGGACCTCAGAATTACTCACGTGATGATGCCATCGAATGCAAGCAATCCTACGCAGACAGCGATGACCAAATACACAGAGTCGCCGCACATCCCCAGCTCGGAGAGGCCAAATTTCGCAGGAGTAGAGCAAGACAGCCCCCACCGAAGCATTGTATACCCAACCTTTGTCAGCCAGACTAACGTCGCCAGAAGCGCCTTAAGTTAACATATGCCAGCCTAGCCTTCATAACAAAGTTGCAAATCTCATCTGTCACCCCTCGGCCAGCGTTTACACAACAACCCAGATACACGAACTTATCGAAAACTTCAAGCGGTTGACCTGCAAGAGTGAGTGCAGGTACAGGCTCCTTCCAATCCTGTAACAGTACTTTGCGCTTAGACAGAGCAAAGCACATTCCATACTTACAGATACTATCGCCAACTGATTAAGTGAGATTTGGGCAGCCTGCATGCTATCGCACAGTAAGACGATGTTGTCTACATACTCGAGGTCGAGAAGTCTTTCTGCAGGGAGCAGATCTACACCACCCTCACAAAAATCTTTCAGAGCTGACTCCAGAATGTCATCGATGGCAAAGTTAAAGAGAAATGGAGAGATTGGGCAACCCTGTCTAACCCCACTGTTGGTCTGGAAAAGTGATGATAGTTGGTTGTATGCCCTCATTCTACCTGAAGTCTTTCTGTACGGAGCTTTCAGGATGTTCACAAACTTCTCAGGTACAATCCTCTCTAACAGACATTTCCAGAGCACAGTTGTGTCCGACGAATCGAAGGCAGCCCTAATATCAAGAAACACAACGATTGTTGATATAAGTATAGAACTTAGGCACTGTGGTCGAGTATAACTCAATTACAGATATGATTTTATTATGATAAATAATCACACAGTATTATACAGTAATATTAACTGATGACGTTTCGAGCACAAACTATTGCTCATGATCATATCAAGTCACTCACATAACTTTCTTGCTTCTTTTATATACATGAGTAAAATTGATTAGACGTTTGAGTGAAATCAATATAAGATAAAGTATATTGGGAAATATTACTAGTGTTATGAATAAAATAGAATAAGATGGGAAATGAGCTGCATTTTACTGTAAAAATAAGTAACTTGTCGGAATGTTACGATGTGAATGCATTAAAATGTATTCGAACTTTCAGATGAAGAGGATAATCGAAGCACTTCACTGGGATGTTGAATGCGGGTCTCCAAAGTGCAGCAGACACTGATAGCGAGGCTTTCCAATGTACTTACCTGCCTGTTGTTCGATTTGCATCAGTGTCCGAACACTGCGGTTGACAGGCTTGAACACGGCGCGCGGTTTCAGGATATCTGTGTTAGGTGTCCCACTGGGGACAACAATTTTGAAGGCTACTTACTGACATCTCGAAACGGCACAGATAGGCTGGGAATTCAGACAAAGGCGAAGGGCTGATGGAAAAGTGAAGACGATAGCAGAAGTAAAACACAGGAGCCTATGTATAAAAATAAAAGGAAGGCTGGCGAGAGATGCGTCAATAGAAACATCATTATTGTTTGATAGCGATGTTAAGAGCATGCAGTAAGTCTCACTGACAGTTTGTTGTTTCATTTCACTGATTGTGTGAGGGCTGAGATGCTGCCCGGGTACCCAGACCGAAGCAGGTGGTTGTCTCAGAGGACTACCTCGAGGCTTTGACTTGGAGTCGAATCCGCAAGTCTGCGGAGCAGCGTCAGGAGCAACATTCCTGTGGTTGCCAGTGACCAATACAAATTCGTACGCCATTTGATCCGATTTGGTTCTGATAGTAACTGCTTTCAGTCGAACCGCTATCTAAATAGCCTTCCTGACATAGTAGGTCCTGCAGGAGCATATGTCTTAGCCACTTTAGTTTGTTGGGTCACTGTGGTATTCAAGCCCGACCACCACCACAAGGTAGCAGTTGTCAGCTGGGTTTAAACTAAAGGTGGAATCATCATACTCCGACTTACTATGCTTATGTTATTCTAAATAAAAATCCCTTCTGAACTGTCTTTTCTTTATCCCAACTTCAAGCACCTGCACCTATTCAGTTTTGCTAGAGCTCTTATCGGGACTTATGATTTCCCAATACAAAATCATGAAAATACCTCTACTACAATATCTGTATGACATAAATTTTCCTTAAATTTAACTTATGTGTTATAAATAGTTTTCTTTTCTTTAAATTAAAGCAACCTATCCTATGAAATAACGCATATCATATTATAAATAACAGTGGGAAGAATATCTAATTCAGTAAATTAGGAACAATAAATCACTGTCATCGAATGATTTAAAAAAGCAATCAATAGTCACAATGAGATCTCAGTGTCACCTACAGGAGGGACAAATAATATTTAGAAACCCGTTTCACTAGTTCGAAGATGTATTTGGAAAAATTCAGTGCTATCGTTCGAGTGACTCTTCTGCTTCGGAAGATGGTAACTATAGAGTAGAATATTTATTGTTACTTAAACATGACATAGATTTAGACTTGAAAGAAAAGACTGTTAAATCCGGCACACGCCTACAAGAAGTAAAACATCTCAGAAAGAATGACGAACGAGGATTATGCTTCCTTTTCTGCCCCAGTTAAGATTTTGAGTTAAAATCTTTAAACGATTAGTGATATATATATATATCTGCCATTCTTTAGAAATCAGTATCATCTTCATCATCTGCAAACCACTCTCCGAGAATTCATTTTTCAATTACAACAATTAAGAAGCTCGTAACAGACAGAAGAAATTGCTATTGAACACGTACACAAAAATCCACGAAGTCTAACTGGAAATAGCAGATTCAACAGACAACTAAGCGAAACAAATGGCCTCGTCCTATACCACCATATCTTCATGTTAATTCTGGTAAAAATCCAATATCACAAAACATTAGTCTTAGAAACAGAACAAGTGTAAATAATGCTGCAAAAAGTGTACAATAACGGACTTGGCGAAAGACTATGTCATGAGGTCGGTCTGCTGACGCAAAAATCACTCGGATTTGTCTAAACATTCGACTTAAAGCAACAACTGATTTATATATATATATATATATATATATATATCGATAAACAGAAGGCATTTCAGAATAACCACACGGAAATATCAAGTACATTATGTGCAGTAGTTGTATTTGCAGAGCTTATCGCTCGCCAAATATTAAAATATTTGAGGCCATATAAAACTTCAAAGTTTATCAACACAGTCATCAAATCAAGTGTAAAAAAGCAGATACACAAACGTGTTGCCACCAAGTGCATAATAGAAGACACGTTTCAGTTTATTCCAAGAAACACTTCAATAGTCTTCGAAATATAATTGAGTCAACACTAGAGTAAATAAATCATACATAACACTAGATAGAAAAAAAAATTGTTTTTAAGAAAAACTTCATCAAACAATCATGAAGCAAAGTATACCGTGAAAGTAAACAATAAAAGTAAATTAAAAGCTTCATAAGAACATCAAATTAAATTCTGTACAGAAATACAATCGGAGTGTGAAAGAAGAAAGAATATTATATTAAATATCATAAATATACGAAAAAGGTTACAAAACGAAAAGCTGATCAAAAAATGATAAACAAAATTTTAAATTCTATTTTTACAAAGAAATACAATAAAAGTTAAGTATTCACATAATTACACTGATCTGAGAAAACAAATCACAATATTAAAATGTACACAGCATAAACAGTAGGATATTGTATAGAATTTGAAAATTTATGAGGAACTGATTTTTTTAGGAGGCAATGGAGGTGGTGATGAACGATCTGTTGTAATGGTTGTGTTGTGTGATAAAAAAACACGAGTAGGATTTGCTAAATTTGATAAGCCAACTGATTCACCATGAATATCAGCATTCTCCACTGTTGACTCTTTATGCGACGGATTACGAGGAGGCAGAGTAGGTGGATTTAACGTGTTAACATTTAACGATCTAGATGCAAAACCTATGAATGTAAACAGAAGTAAATAGAATACAATAAAAATAAATAAAAACAGAAAGTAACTGATATCTCTACAGGAGTAGAAAAGTGAAACTGCCTGTAGAAAAAGAAAAAACTTTCATATATTTAATCCATGGATATTCGAATGTGTTGCGAGCAATGAAATACAGAAACTTCGAAACACGATAAGATTGAAAGTACTATGCGGAAAAGAGAGTAAAACTCAGTTTGTTTTACTTTAATCTACCTAAACGCGTAATTTGTAGAAATTAGATAAATTACGATGTAATGTTCAAATGAACGAACACAAAGAAATCTGTTTTTTTTTTCAATTACTAGCTGAATGCAGATCCTTATTTATGCAAGTAAATTGCTTTCTCACGATGTAATGAATTATTTGCACAGTGGTTTTGAACACATTATGATACCACCTAATTTGTCATTCACCTGAAGTTCCCTCTTCCCTGTCCATTCTGTCACCTTAGTGGTCTTCGCTTGTAGATCTTCGACTTTGTGTGACACCATCTGCTAACTCCAGATCTTCTAGAGACTTCTTGTTGCCCCAACATATTACTCCCCACGGTCTGTTACATGATCCACTCGATCACAATCAGGAATATCAAAGGCAGACAGTCTTGTCTTATTCATGTCTCCACTTCAAACGCTTCTCTGAGTTCAACCATGAATCACTGCAGGATGATGCGACTTAATATTTTATTTAGCATGATTCCCCGACAGATATTGGCACTTCTTTGGTGGTTCGACAAGGTACCTTTCTCTTTATTTCCAATCCTTTTACGATACTGGCGTACGAATATCCGCTGCAGTTTCTGTTTCCGTTTTAAGTGCTTCAGCAAGAAATCCGTCCAGTTTTGCAGCCTTCATAGCTTTCAGTATCTTCACAGTATCCAAAACCTCAGTATTTGTTGGAAGATTACCATTCACTAGTTGTTGTGAAGCATATGGAACGGGCCTTTCTTGAGCGAAAATTGGTGTAGCATTAAGTCGTTAACGTAGGATAGCTTTCATGATTTTGCAACGTCCTAATTCTGGCTGGGATAAAGTCTGGAATTCTCGAAGTAAAATCGAATTATCTATCACTTCAACTCTATTGCATCTACTGTTGAGGGGGATTTCCGAGAGCCGTAGGCTTTCGAACCAGTCCAAACCCAACGAATATATATATATATATATGCTTTAAATTACTTTGACAAGTTAAAACAGTCAGCAACCAATAGGGCTCCAAGGTCACAGGTGAGGGTGGGGAATACAAAGATAAATGTAGTATTTTAGAAAAATTAGGTATATAGAACAGAATTGTTAACTGGTGGGGCAATAATCTATTCCAGTCACCCAAACGACAACAACGAGCACACCAACAGCATTCACAGCTGTTATGCTTAAGAAACCAATTTCTTCAGGATAATGACAGCAAGATTCAAGTCAAACGAAATGAAAGTCACAATTTTCAATGATATTCTCCCACAAACAATGCAGATCAAGAAAAGAAGGAAGACTTCTACAGACAAATGCAAATAGTAATGGGCAGTAAATCGCGACATCAAAATACTAATCTAGTTCAAGGAACTTTTAAAGCAACAAGAGATAGACCACAATTCAAGTTCAGTACTCAGAAACTAAAGGAAGAAACTGCAAAAGACACCTTCACTGCAGCCATCAGAACAAAGTGGGAGACATTATGTGGCATCCCTGAGGGAACGTGTATGGAAGAACACTAGAACTCTCTAAAAGAGATGTTTGAGGAAACGTGTACAGTCACTTTAAAAAGAAAGAAGATGTAAGACAAGGAATGGCTGTCTACAGACACATGGAAGCTAATAGAGTAAAAGATGGTGGTGAAACAGAAGACGAAACAATGCAAAGATGGACAACAGAAGGAGAAGCTAATTTCAATGTACAACGCACGAAATGGAGAGGTGAAGAAGAGTGCTAGGAAAGACAAAAGACAATTCTGAGACACACTTGCAACTGAAGCAGAACAGGCTTCAGGTAAACGAGACTTTAGAACTTTATATTAGATAACCACTTCTGGGATGAAAGCAACACAGATGAAACCGATAAATGTTTGTCAATGGAAGGTAATTAGGAAATATCCTTGGAAGTGCATTCACAACTCAGTGTGTATAGCGTCAGTATATGAAATTCCATTGTTTGACAGTGTCATAGAGACGTGTGTAGGAAAAAAGGTAACATTATTATTATTGTCTCCTTTGGTTCCTAGAGGAACATAGGGCTTCAGCCACACGTCTCCATTACGTTCGGTCCTCCGCCAACGTTTTCACCTGGCTCCACGTCTGCTCACATGCTTTCATCTCCTCTTCCCACCATCTCCTCCATGTCAACCTCACACTAACGATCAACTCGCCGCTTCCATTCCCATTCCACTCGAGCAATGACCTGGCGTGTGATGTCACTCACTTGATGGTTTGTTTTCTCAAAGTATGGCCAATCCACCTCCATTTCTTCCTGCAGATTTGTTGCACAATTAATTGGTTCCTGCTGGGTTGGTTCGCTCATTGCCAGAGATCGATCCCTGTTGCTGATCTTTTCTGACTGGCCATCTGATCTTGAGTAGTATTGGGCGAAGACAGATGTTGATGAAGGTCTGCAGTTTGTTCGAAGTGCCCTTTGTGACGCGGCGCTATATCTCTGATCCGTATAGTAGTACTGACTGTCTTCACATTGGAGTTGAAAATCTGGATCTTATTTTTCATGCAGAGTGTTGTTGATCTCCACACAGACTTGAGAGTAATGGAAGCTTGTCAGTTTCTTAACGTAAAAAGCTACAGAACAATTATAAAGACTAACTTGTTAAGAAACATTACCACTGCAGGACTTTACATCCTAATGATAAAAAGGTTCAACTATGACTTACCTGAAAGTTCTGTTGCTTCACATGATGGAGAACAATTTCTCTCGGTTGGCAGCGTACGAGAGGATACAGAAATCAAACTTCTGCGTGATGGTCTTGGAGGAGGACTAACACTGTCTGGAGTTTCATTCATAGGTGCATTTCCACATTCCTGTGAGGCACTTGATGACTGTAACTTTGACGAATTTTCCGCTATACAATCATATGAAATGTGACTATCCGTTGAACAAATGGTTAATGTATCCATTGCAGGTAGAGTCGTACAGCATACATTGCTGTGGTGCAAAGATGTGGAAATGGGATAATTATGAAATCCTTGCGACGGCGAAGGTTGACGAAATAATTGTTCTGAATGTGTATTTACATTTGAATACTTGCTAATTCGAGGTGGAAGAGGTGGTGGAGAACTGTTTTTTGCATGTGTTTCTTCACATCTTTGTACACATTTTATGTCGAATGGTACTGATGGTGGCCTTTCAATGTCCTTAGGTTTTGCAACTGTTGGAGAAGTAACACGTAGATCCCCATAACTATCTCCTATATTAGAACAAATTAGACAAATAATCACATTAAAATACAATCTTCAGTCACACAGGAAATAGAAATGACTCACAAATCACTAAATATGGCGAAATTTTGTAATTGAGAAACAAACTAAATAAAACTGATGATAAAATGTCGACTTACATTTAATAGAACAAACACTGTTCCTTTTATGTAAACACGTAACGCTGTCAAAAAGCTTACCAGGAGGCGACTGGTTTGAATGAATAGTCCTGCTAAAATCCCTTATTCGATAGTTAATAAAGACCGGGTAGGTTTAATTGTCCAAGATATATAATGATTAAAATACTAATAAGGAAATAGGAGGTTATTAAATAAAGGGTTAAGCTTTCGAATTGCCCCTCCTCCCCCAATTTAATCAGCAATAAATAGCTCAAAAAAAACACAACTCTTCATTTACCTAAGGCATATATTAACATGGAGACCATAATGTTAATAAACAGTCCTATGTATCAGTAGCACTCTTAACTCAGCTAGATTTTCCTATACCATGAAGGATATTCAGAAACTTCACTAAGTATTATTTAATTTTATAGTTTCTACTGAATGAGGATGTTGTGTACAGGAAGACAGTTCATACAGGCGGTAAATCAAAGCAGTCCATATAATGGAAAATTATTTCGTAAGCACAGAAATCCATATACTCACCAATAATGGATGGCTTCAAGTCAATGCAGATTTTGTCGGCTTCAGAAAGCAAAGATGATTTTTCTTCAGAATTTTGAGGGTATACAGCAGATTCATTAATTGTTGCACACACTGTGGTATTCAACTTACTACTTGACCGCTCAAACGTTTTGTCAGATAGATCAGAAGAAACCTTCACTAACTGGTTTTCATTGGTAGTAGATGAAGAACAGTTTTTCACAGTGGAAATCATCTGAACAAGGTTACGAAACTCGCGTGAATCAGCAGTAAGATTGGGATCCGGCTGAACGAGATTCAATGCAGCTGCAATTTTTAGTTCCACAGGTGTGAAGCTGCGTTCTCGAGATGCCTGAAAATGAAGAAGAAAACATAATAGATTATAGGAAAATTAACTGATGTATGTGACTAGATATCAGTCTACAGAAAGCATGATTCAAAATTAAAGCGAACGATCGTGAAATTACAAACGGCACATGAATTTTCAGTGCTGGCAATAAAAAATTTTGAAAGTCGAAGCAAACACAATACAAAACCAAACCAAGTACTCTGAAAGACTGATTATGTGACGGTAAATTTCAGATTCATGAAGATATTTCAGATATCATGAAAATATCATTATTCAGAGTGGATAAATGAAATGGTTGGTCGACAGGAGTACAAAAGTATATCGGTTGAAGCTGCCACTATATGAAAAAATTTGCATCACCAACAATGAGTAACAGAAGACACTTTCCACTTATTAAACAGACTAACATGAAAGTCAGTCAGCATTGAAAACACAGACGTAGATGCATCAATCCAACAAAGAATGTTTAACTGGTGTTTAGCAGATAGGTTTTTAGATAAGGTTTAAAAAATCTAGTCAAATTGAAAGTACAAACAGCGGCAGTACGGAATCATTAATTAGACTAGTTTAATTATTACTAACGATATGAGAGGCATACATTCTTCTAGATTACTGATTCCAATGAAATAGGTTTTCCAAGTTACTTATTTCAGATACAGAGTCGCTGAAGTTGGTAAGCAGGTGTCCCCAAATGTTCGACTCGCACCTATTGATCACGATTTTTCATCGGAACCTTGCAAATTTCTCTTGAAGTTATCTAAGAATGAACAATGAATTGGTATTCAGACGTTGGTTTTTCGAAAGTGCTTTTAACTGCAAGAGGTATCGATGAGTGAATAACCTTACTTGTGATCTCACAGACGGTTATAGCGGAGTCTATACTCAGCAGTTGTTTGATATATCCGTTTACAGATATTTGCTGTGTGATTTCATTAAGCTTTATCCTACATATTCAACGTGTCACTAAAATTTTCTTCAAAGCTGAAAGGATTTATTTAGTCATAGAAACAATTTTAAAGAACTTGAAGTACGCAAAGAATATTATCATATTAGGTAACGATGTTTAGAATGCCTCTCACTTATGGCTTTAAATTCGTTCACAACACTCGCAGTTCCAGTGTTTTGTAGGCAACATTTTAAATAGCACAGATACTCAATATCACTTTTTCTGAACTTTTATTTTGCTTCCAGAATTTAGACCTTTGTGAATTCTAATGGATACATCTGATTTCCATATCGTCGTATTCCATCAGTTCAGCTAATGACAAAATTCTTAAAAATCCTTGATTGTTAATTTTAGACAACTACGTGGATGCAAATTCCGTAACCAAGTCCCTAGAAGCTGACAAGTTGGAAAGCAGGAGACTTAAACTAACATGTCTCAAAATCAATCTGGTTTGCGACTACATACTTTCATGATATTTTCATTGAAACCATAACGAACTTTTTCGGCTTGTATCATTGTAAATTACATACTATTACACCTTGCTGTCGAGATGTTTAGAGCGAAATTTTTAAGTATAACACAGTAATGGTAAAGTTACGTGTTGACAATATTTGTATATTTAAGTATTGGCTTGTAGGGATTTGATTGATTGGTTACAGGATTTCATGATGAGCTGACATCGGTTAGAGAACCATTGGAAAACCTGGAAGTACTGGACAGCTTTTCCATCCTAGCTCGAGACTCTTCAGTAGTATGCACCCACCGGGGTTCGAAACCAGGACCTTCTGGTTACAAGGATTGGCAGAAACAGTATTATTTACTGGATGACAATGGAATTCATGGGCCATTGGATCGGGTCCCAGTGGCTTAATGGTCTATGAGCTCGCCTTGTAACCAGGTCTTGGGTTCGAACCCCAGTGGGTGCGTATCGATGAAGAGGCCCAAACTAGGACGAAACAACTGTCCAGTACTCCCAGGTTTTCCAACAGTTCTCTAACTGATATCATCTCGTGATCAATCCTGAAACCATATTTGTCAAGGAGATAGGAACGAAGCAAGAAAAATAATTGTAACAGTATAATATGAGGTCGTATTTATTATTTCGCAGATTCAGGACTTCTATGCTTAAACTGATACTTCTTATCAATCATTCATTGTTTGAGTGATAAAAACATAAGTCGAAGATCTGCAAAAATGACCTCCGATTATCCTGCTTCATTTGTTGTTCTTGTTTTCTTCATATTTATCAGTCGGAAGAATCGTATGACGTTTTTTAAAGCGATGCCTCTCTTCTCCGTCTTTAAAGTGAATGAATCTCCTGGTGCCCAGCACGGTGACCTGGGCTTAAGTCCATCAAACAAAGTTTACGCTCATCCTGTTTTTCGCTTCAATTCTCCAAGTCTGTACGCCTATACAAACTGTCACTATCACTGAGAAATCTCCGAAAACTCTATTGAGTAAAGACCATATTTCTTAGCTGAAGAAAGAAAACTTTGACTTTGATCATTTATGGTGAAAGAAATGAATTCAGTTTGTCAGAACAAGTTAGTCAAGTTCATTCAAGAGGTTTACACTAAAACAAGCTTAAAATCCGAGAATAGTTCATGAAAGCATATGGTTAAAAAATTATGTGAAGGTATTTCGGATAATCCTGAAAGCTTGTACACCACAACCTGTCATGTTGTAAATTGAGTCAAACAAAGACAGAAAGTTTCGAAAACCGAGAAAAATTGTCAACGAAATCCAAATCGAAACTAAATACGAAAGTATGTATCATGAACCGTCTGAATTAAAACCAGTGGACCGAGAGAAACAAGGTTGATTTAAATCTTAACTTATTGATATGTTTCATCAATACATTATATGCCTAAATCCACAGCCTGTACTTTTGTTCATTGATTATCGAACAGCAACAAGAAACTAAATTAGGAAGAATGAATCCATCATTATTATTCTTGGATTGGACAAAGGATCAGGTGTTGCGATAGTGGGCAATGATAATTCAAAAAATCAGATTAATTCTGAGTGACACATCAACGTTATAAACTGGTCAATCTAGGAAAGATGTACATGAATAAATCCATGACAAATAAGCTGTCCACAAGCTGAAAGAAACCTCTCAATTAGCTAAAATGCTAAAGAATTTGAACAGCACGCACAAACTCCTCATTTTGCTTGATATGTTGACCTTATTTACAAACCACACAAATTACATGTTGAAATCCTGACCTTCCTCTGCTAAAGAAATAATTCAAAGAGCTTCTATCTATGTATGCCGGAGACTTACAGTTTCAAACCAACAACTGCTTCGGTCACTATGGGTTCGATTGTGGGAGAAATTTTTATGGACATCCTGGAGCAGACAAAAATGGCGTCTGTAGTCGGTCGGACAGACTCTGATATCAAGTATTTCAGTGCGAATTTTTCATTTGTGATTGTATTGGCGATGCATCCAAATATTAAACTTTCTGAATAATGCTAACACAAGTATACATTTTACTATGAATTATGGACGTGAGGGCAAGGTATTTTTTTACTTCGGTATCCAATGTGACGTAGGTAGGGAGATCATAAGATGGATCCATAGAAAAGATATGCGGAGGGCATATAATCAGAACTACAAAAGCAAAGAACATTGTCTGATACTGCGGAAAAATCTTAGTCTCGAGGGATAAAAGACGAAAAAGAGCAATACATTATGGTGCAATCCCTACATAATGATAGTTACCTTGCAGAAGTTTACTGAATAATATGGGAAAACCAATGTTGAAAAATGTGGATTGCAGCCTACTGCTAGAAAAGGCTATATTTCTACAACTTGTCTTCGAGAGTGGTAACAATGCTGGTAGAATAAGATCGAAAATGAATGCTGCACTGAAAAGAACATAATCACCTTCCAAGCTCCTATGTCTGTATCAAACGAACAGTTGTTTAAGGCAGTTAAAAATGGACTAATTCCCACCGCATGTTACATCAGATTGTATCTACCACTTGTCATGTAGATACCATAGGATATAAATTGAAAGAACAAGGAGAATGGTCATTATTCTCACCTCTGTTCACATACTACATAGCCTAAGATTAAAAGGTTCATTAGCATAAAATAATACAGCTGCGTACCATGTATTAGATATTGGTCATATGGCGGACATTTTCAAGGGTTTCCAAATAAGCAACAGCTAAACGAAACCCAACATGTTACGTTTCGCTGAATTAAGTGCCATCAAAAAGATAAAACTAAATTTTTGTACGCAAAATAGACAGTGGTTAACCTTGCACCACATTGATGATTATATTCACACAACAAAGACCATAAGCTGACTGACTGGTTTCAACGTAGAACTTTGCACAGATGTGCAGCAGTTCGAGTAGTCACACTCCATGTAGCACATAAAGCATGAGAAGAAAATAAAAGGAAATGCAAAACAGAGACAGCAGACAGGGATATGCTGCTGCTGCTGCTGGATTCAACATAGAACTTGGCACCGAAGTGCAGCAGTTCGAGTTGCCACGTTCCAAAAAGCACACAAAGGTAGACAGGAAAATGAGAGAAGAGAATCAATAGAATTTAGATAAGTATAAGAGTGAAACAGAATGAGTAATGGTAGAAAGGAATATGAAGGTTAAAGAGACTGAATACATCTGCCTAAGCCATTGACAACGATTTTGAGCCATGTCACCTATTGTCTCCAGCCATTGATTCTTAGAGTCCCGAGGGCCCCAACCCGGAAGTCTGCATCTCCCTACCTGACCCAGTTTAACTGTCAGGGATTTCATGGATTGATGCCATGTTTTTGTTTGGCCACCGCTTACTCTTTTCCAACCTGCACCTATATCAGCTAGTAATGCCCGTCGGGGGAGACGATGGTTAGGCATGTGCAGCACGTGACCTAACCATCTCAATCTATGTAACTTCATAGCCTCTTCGATTGATTTTCCCTCTTTGCCCAACACTCTACGCCTAACGTCAACAGTACTTACCTTATTATACCACCTAACGCGAGAAAGAGATCGTAAACATCTGTGGTCAAAAACAGACAATCTCTTCATGTCTTCC